AAGATATTGATTGATTTTCAATCGATTTATTTTGATACGTCCTCATTATTAAATGTAGTGAATGAGTGAGTGAGTGTATTATGCTCAGTGAGTGTCCTTATGGATTCGAAAAGATCACGTCATTAGGCAGTTTTCGTCTAATGAAGTCATGTTTTTTTTTATGTGTATGTGAATATTATAAGTCAGTTGAGCCAGAAATGTTTCACGATATTTCGTCATAAGATTTGGCAGTTGCATGTGGAATTAGTTAGGGTTGCCTACTTACCTACTGTTGGGGATGTTAGATCCCCAAAACTCACTTGTTAAATGCCTTATTCTGAATTCCACGTTTGCCAGTATGGGCTGATCAGTTGACCTTGAGATTTTACTTCCCACCAGGAAATTCCTTGTCTGTGATTGGCTGCTGTGTATTTTAGTGTGTGCTATTTTCGTAACTGTCCCAAGGACGTTTCTGTGATGTTTAAATAAACGAGAGTTATGTGTTTGATGGTATTGTGATTGCTGGGTGTTGTAGAATATACTTTCTTCGGTTACCAAGTCTTCTGTTTTGGCGCTTGGGATTCAAGTTAGCCTACCTGGTCTCTGGTAATTGTCTCGTTCGCGTTTATCAACTAAGGTAAACTCGTAATAGCCTCAAGCATACTTAGTGACGAACTTATCACCTACTTACTTAGTTACTTACTTACTTACGCCTGTTGCCCCCGATGGAGCAAAGGCCACCAACCAGCATTGTCTAACCAACTCTGTCCTGGGCTTCCTTTTCGAGGTCTTTCCAGTTTTTGTTCATTCTTCTCACATCTTTCTCTATTTCTCGGCGTAATGTGTTGTTTGGCCTTCCTCTTTTCCATAAACCGAGAGGGTTCCAAGAGACGGTTACCAACTATAATCATTTTTTTTTAATTTAACGTCATGAAAGATAGAATTTTTACCGACACACTGTATTTTTTGATGATGATAGCCTTGAAAAGGACGGTGGTAAGTGTAATTATAACACGCTTCTTCAAGGACTATTCGGAATTATAATATCTTTTGATCGTAAAGAATGAAGTGGTTGGATGCGTTGTTTGAGCCTCACTTATCTTGAAAGTTTCGTCGTGTCTGATGGAATCTTGATATTTGTATTTCAGCATAGATTTAAGGAGTGAAATGTTAAAATTAAGCGTGGGTAAGTAGGAAAGTATGGTAAATTGGTTGATAAGGTTATGAATATTGATTGAATGTGTTGGGGACGTTAGATCCCCAGAACTCACTGGATGAAGGTCCTAAATTTGAATTTTGTGGTTTCGCGCATGGGCCGATCAGATGACCTTGAGATAACATTTCCCACCTAGAAAATCCTTCACTGTTATTGATTGATGTATTATTTTAGTATGCTATTTTTGTAGCTCTCTCAAGGAGGTTTCTATCATGTATAAATAAATTCGATTTGTGTGCTTGTGAAACCTCATATTTTCTGGGTGCTTTTAGAATACACTTCGTCTACTTGGTGGGGCCTTAAAACGCTCAGATTAGAGTAGCCTATCATGTCACTGGATCATTTGTCTTCACTCTAGTTTACCGACTAAGGTGAACTCGTAATGGTTTCAAACATATCAGATGACGAGCATAACAGAATGAGATTATTTACATGTGTGCTTTATATGTTCAACAAATGACTATAACAACACATAGTATTGGCTGTAGCAAGAGTAAGGCGAGTGAAAGACAGCAGCGGCTAAAACAAAAAATGAGATAGGTCTGTTAAGTCATGAATCGTTCATTGTTAGACTACTATTAGAAACCTGGAAGCGCTGGACGGTTGTTTTATCCTGGCATGGAACTCTTCAGGTTCCTAATGACTGAATACCGTCTCAGTGGTTCAGACGTAAGGCGTTGGCACGCCAGACTGAAGGTTCTGGGTTCGTGTCATGTGATTGTAATAGTCCGGGATGTTCACTGTCACTGATAAGTCCCGCATCAGGAAGAAACGTCTGTTCAGTGTTTCCAAGTTTCTAGAAGTGTACTAACATTCTCTAGTTCAACAAGGTTTTAATATAACATGCGAATTATCGATTCTGTACCATTTAAAAGTTTGAGACAAGAAGAAATCTTCTATCTAATTATTCCTAGTCATCATCGATTTTTACGGCTGATATCATTCCGTGAAAATACCTGTTTCTGAATTAACTGAATGTACAAAAATTACGCAAAGAATCGAATTGTTTTTAAAAACAGTTCTCTTACATAGTTGCTAATATTATCGGTAAAAATCATAACTTACCGATGACCTTGAACAGGTCTGTCAACCAATCACGAAACACCAACCAGTTACAAAACAATCAACAGTTAATATTCAGAATAACTCTCATCTGACATGTTGATTTGCTTGCTGCTTGTAGGGGAAAGCAAAATGCTTATTTCACTTATCCGAATTTGAACTAGTGTTATGAATTAGAGATAACAACCACTACAGAGATTACACAACCAAATGAGATCAGCTATCATGCAAACAGTTGTTGGATTTAGGTGATAAACGTTGAGTTGGTGTTACGAGTTTGGTTTTACAAATTAGAGTTACGATTTTCATTACTACCATTTGACATCAACTATGATGCGATACACTGACATTTTTCTCTTGACAAACTTAATAGACGTACAAATGAGGTTTCGAATGAGAGTCAGAGAAGGAGAACATTATCTTGTTTCAGGAAACACTCTTTACAACGCACTGAACCACATCCCATTCACATTTAGGATTGGAGATGACCAATCTTTTCTGGGATATGTACATCCTAGGAGGATTGCCTTGATATTGCCATTAGATTACAAGTATTATAAGCGGAGAGGGATAGTGGCTGACACTGGAATCCGAGATATGTGTTTTATCCAAATTACGGCTCGTCTTACCTGGTTATATTTGCATCTCACAGTTGGTGTTCACTATAGAGCTCGAATCCTGTAATCGTTTAGTTACAACGTTAAAATTTCACATGTACATACATAAGTTTCGGTTGCCATAGCAAATTAGCCACAACTCTCAGTTCAAATCCCATATCGGTAGAGATAGTTGAATTATGGAGAGGACTAGGCTTCGAAGATATTGTTCAAAAAGTATAATTCAGTGAGATAATTTTAGGAAGCGAAAGACAGAGATGATAAGGAATTCTGAGGATTAGAATTTCAGAGAACAAAAAGAGTGGATGCACCTGCGCCATTGAGAACGATTTTGAGCCATATCATTTAAGGTCTCTAACCATCGGTTACTATTGACTCACGAACCCCAACCAGGTAGTCGATAACTACCAACATGACTCAAATCTAGTAGAGTTCACTTCAAACTCCAACACATTATCCAGTTAAATTTTTGAATTCAAAATATCATTTTTTTCGGCAGTAAATTTTGTTTACAGATTTCAGTAAACTTGATGATTGACCAGGATGTGTTTTGACATATCCTAAATACTTAATAACTCCTGTTACGCCTGATGGACCATAGGTCACCGACTAACATTCTCTAACCCAATACGCTGTAGGCCTTTCTTTCTAGCTTGACTCAGTTGCCGTTCATTCTCTTCATGTCTATCTCCAATTCTCGTTGCACTGTGTCCCTTGGAATCCTTCTTTTCCTCTGACCTTGATAACTTAACGTTAAAACTTGTCTTATGATGCAGTTGTATAATTTCCACAATGTTCCCTATCCATCCCCTGAGCATTTGCTAGTTTCTTCATCAGTCTCAAGCTGGTTTGTTCACTTCCACATGAGGTTGTTGCTGATATTGTCTGACTAACAGATCTGCAGTATCTTGTGTATACAACTGTTATTAAACACATTTACCCATCGGATGACGGCATTCGTAGTTGTCCAAGTTTAATATTTGTATTGAAAATTCTAATTTTGGTATTGGTTAACAGCTAGTTGTTTTAAGTTCCAGATGTTTTTCAGTCATGGAAAAGCTGCACTTGCTTTGCTAATATAAATTTTACATATGCACTAGATCCGTTTTGGCCAAGATAGGTAAAGGTTTCCACATCTTCAAGTGCTTCTCTGTCAAGTGTGATTTGGTTGGTAAACATTGTACTGTATCGAAGGATCTTGCTCTTTCTTTTATGTATGATGGGACCCACTGCCGCAGAGTTTGCTGCTACACTGAGTGTCTTACTTAATCTGCATTTGCTGTTTTATGTGGAATAGAGGAGCTGAGTTATCTGTGAAGTCCAAATCGTTCAGCTGAATCTGAGCTGTCCTTTTTATTCTGAGCTTTACCTCAAATGTTGACGTCTTCATTATCCATTCGACTATCTGGAGAAAGAGAGATGTTGACAGTAAGCAACCTTGTTTTCACTTAGAACGAATCTGTGAGTTGTCTTCCATGCACGATTTTGTAGTTTACTTCATCATATCTATCTACTCAGGCACGCCGTAGTGTCGAGTAAGTCTTCATAGTGTCACCCTGTTCACTCTGTCACATACTGTCTCGTAGTCAAGGAAGTTGCTATATTCAATATACATCTATTCACATATTCGAATAAAGGCAGTCCAACGGTCTACATACCAACTTATAACGATGAAACTTTCTTAGGAATAACGAATACACGTAACTCTGTATGAATACTTTACTTCCATCTGAAGTTTGTGCTCATGAAAGAAGAACAATGAAAGCTTCACAACCAAAACAGCATCCAACTCAGAGAACAAAACACCATCACACTCATCCACCTGAGCTACAAATCCTCTTCACCACATATCGATGTATGAAATACAGGTAAGTAGATAGATAATACATTCAATCTTTATAGCTTAAAATAATGAACAAATCAAAGGTAAATATAACGCAAAGCTCTACAAATTCATAGTTATATTACATAACACACTGAAATCAATAAATCATGTGTTTTTTAAATTTCTAAAAATGAATTTTGCACTGATAACTTATTGATTGATCGATTGATTCATCCGTCCATCCTTCAACATATTTTCTTTCTCCCCCCCCAAAAAAAACAACCAATTATCGATTATCTAGGTCTACCAAATTCTGGCAAAAATACATTTTGTAAACAAATGCGTCTACATTTCGGTGATGGTTTCCCTGTCACATATCGTACTGAAATGAAACCAACCATATTAGCCAATATGACAGATGCTATAGCTATGGTGCTTGAATATATGAAAGAGACAAATATTACATTCTCAGATATTTTAGCTCATGTAAGTAAATCGTTGATTGATTAACATAAAAAAAAGTGTGTACGTTTTTCTTTTCAGACTATTGATTATTGTTAAATTAGGTCTGTGGAGATTGTTACTGATTATTGAAACTGAAATCATGAATCACTCATTGTTAGACTACCATTTGGAAAGTTGAAATCACTGGACAGCTGTTTTGTCTTACTATGCTCACTGACGACAAACCGCTACTCGCAGTATTCGAATCCGGGACCTTCGGTCTTCATTTGACGATGATACATTCATGACTCTAATGTAAAACAAAGTTCTCCATAATATTCTAATGCGAATCTCAGAAGTGTACTCGGAGTTCTAGTGAGAAGACGTGACCAGTGAAGTCCTACCTTGTCGGTTTTAGGAAGTAATAACCGAAGACAAATGGGTGAGGTCTAGCGAAATCCCAAGATTGATCAGAGTAAGACATTAATAACATTGGACGCCGGCCCAGTGGTCGAATGGTTGGGCGTTCACGCACAATACCGAAGGTCCCGGGCTAGAATCCTGCGAGGTGCAGGAGTCGTGGATGCGCACTGACACTGAGGAGTCCCATACCAGGACGAAATGGCCGTCCAGTGCTTCCAGGTTTCTGATGGTGGTCTAACACTGATTGATTGATGATTTCAAATGTGTAAAAACCATAAATTTGTATTCAATGGCTTTCTGACTTCTATTAGTGGTGAAATATTTAATTTTGGTCATTTTAAGGTATATTACCAAACTATGATTAAAAAACACCTAGATTGATACTTGTGGTTCTACTTTTTTTGTTGACCGAGTTGATTTCACAGATGAATAAAATTCGTCATGTTAATGAAATATTCTTGAAAATTGCTTGGTTTCTATAAAATCCATTTTGAACACTGAAATCATCAATCAATCATCTGTAGACTACCATTAGAAATCTAAGAGCACTGTACGACCGCTTCTTCCTGGAATCGAACCTAGAACCTTTCGGTCTCGCTCGCGAACTCCTAACCTCTGACTACTGAGATGGCTGGTTTTAATACTTCACTCTGAGCAATCATCTAAGGATTTTTCTCAACCTCACTGCATGATCTTTGGCAGTTACTCCATACACCTTCGACAGCGCTGAACTCCAGTGATGATCATGTCTTCTTATTAGAACGCCAAGAATTCCCGCCCGAAGCTTGCTTATCACTCATGTGCACATTTATCGATTTTTTTTCTATTCATTCATGCTTTTAAAGTAAAACAAACAACGATCTTCATAATTTTATTCAATTAAATTCTTATTATCCCACATTCATATTTAGCGACTTCAAGAATATTTAGTAAATAGTCGATCAGAAAATGGATGGATTACAAAAGATTTTATTATTTACGATGAAAATTACAAAACTAGCAATCATAATCACACTGGTCACCATTTATTCAAACGTCAAGAATCCACATTGAAGCCTAAACTAAATAATATCACCGACCAGTTAAATGCTCCCGGTTATTTTAACCGTCATTCTCCGCATATCGATAATAATAATAATAATCATAATATTGATGATCAGAATACTAGTAATAATAAGAATAATAATTACTTAAAAACTAGTTTCAGTGCATCCAATCGTACAATGTACAATTCTCCTCCGTCCATTGAACCGATTCAATCAAGTGGCGCGAAATTCCCTTTATACAATATTGACAATTTAACCAATGAACCTTGTTTAAATACTACTACCACAACAATGACGACGTCTACGTCTACAACGACAACGGATAATAATACTCATAACCCTACCAATACAGAAAGTTTAACTGATTCAATCGTAGAGAAATTTCTATCTTATGTACATGAAAACAATTCTATTCCACCGTCTGTCCTGAAAAAATTCGAATCAATCATTGGTAGAAAATCAATGGATAATTGGCAAACTCTTATTGAAGATAAACAACTGTTACATGATTTAATTCATTATTTATTACAAACTGGCATTGATAATTGGTCATCATTTTTAATGTATCAATCTATTGTCCCACCACCGATTCCGACTACATTACCTCCAATCTCTGTAGAAGATGAATTGTTGAATTATATTGTCACGACTAGTGATAGTTGTGATACTTCTGACGAAACCGATGACGATGAGGATGGTGATGATGACGATGAGGATGACATTGTCAATGGATTGACTGGTTCTTCAAATTCATCGTTGACAAAAACTTTAGTCAAAGGTATTTCTGGTAATGTAGATACGGATGATGATGACGATGAAGATGATGAAGTGGACGGAAATGATTGTATTGATCTTTTGAAGGATGTAAACGCCAGCGATGATTTAACTAAGAAACCAGTGAGAAAAAAACTATCAGTGGCCGCAACAAAACGTAAAAATAAAGGTGAGTAATATGAAAAAACTGTTTTGCAATAAACTTTAATTATGACAACTGGAGATAATCTAGGGTTATTTCTGGTTAGCGTTTTTCTTAGCGAGTTAGTTAGCGCCAGCCTCATGCTCAACCCTCCTTCCTTATTACGGGCTTGGGACCGACAGTAGCGCCAGAGGGGCCCCAGGCGGAGACGAACGAACGAAAATTGTACAGAACTGGAAAGGGGAGCCCAGGACAGAGGAGGGTGGAGAATACTGGTCGGTGGCCTGTGCTCCATTTAACGGTAACAGGAGTAAGTAATTAAGTAATCTAGAGTTACTGTCGGTTCCAGGCCCGGTTAAACAAGAAAGGTTAGGCATGGAGTCAGTGAACCCATCCTGTATAAATACAACTGGCTAAGAAAAAATGACTGCTAACCAGAAAGATAATTCATTGGGTTGGAAGAATATGATCTATTAAGAGTAACAGGAGTAAGTAAGTAAGTCATTACATGTTAAAGATATCATTGGTGAAGTAAGTTTTTTTCAGTGAAATCAAATGAAGTAATTTTAACTTCTGAAAAAAGTAACTCTTTTTTTACTTGATGGTCAATAGAAATTGGTTTGGCTTAACTTGTAGTTGACAATTTTGATGGAAATTTGACTAGTCTTAGTTAGTAGTATATGCAGCCTCATTGATGAGGAATGTGGATGCGATTTAGATGGGAAAGCAATGGCAGTCTTTTTATAATTGAAGAAAATGTGTAACTCAAAGTCACTGCCTATCAACCAAAACCAAAATAGTATTTTCAGTACAAACGTCAAGATAGTTATACTGTATGGAGCCGAAACTTGGAGAACCACGAAAGCTATCATTTACAGTTGCCTGGACAAGATACTGTGGATCCGTTGGTCAGACACTATCATCAGCAACCTCCCGTGGAAGATAACCAACCAGATGGAGGGAGAAATCAAGAAGAAGCACTGGAAGTTGGTAAGATACACATTGTGGAAAGCACTCTTTTGAGTCACAAGACAAGCCCTAAAGAAGAGAGAAAGACCAAAGACCACATTACACCGAAAATTGGAGACACACATGAAAAGAATGAGTAGCGACTACATAGAATTGGAAAGAAAGGCCCAAGATAGAGTAGGTTGGAGAATTTCGGTTGGTGGCTCATGCTCTACTAGTGGTAACAGGCGTAAGTAAGCAGTCTGTGCAAATTGGCTCGATATTAACTCCTTGGATTGCCAATCTTGTCAATTTCCCACACTTATTGTCGAACAGTTCGTGCATAAAAATACAAAATTAGCAAGTTTAAAAAGGTATTTTATAAACTGTTAGTTAAACGTAGAAATAACAGAGTAAAATTGTCAAAAACAGTACGGCATACTGACAGTCCTGTGTGAACTAGTCAGAACTAGCACAAAATCTTAGGTATTTTGAGCGAATGCTGAAGTGTAGCGATGGATACCTTATATTACGGCATCGACGAAAGGATACATGTGACCTTTAAAATACCTGAAATCAATAGGAATTTCTAAGTTTGTCAAGAGAAAAATGTCAATGTATCGCATCATAGTTGATGTCAAATGGTAGCAATGAAAATCGTAACTCTAATTTCTAAAACCAAACACAAAACATCATCTCAACGTTTAACACCTAAATCCAACTGTGGTGTGAGCTACTTATAAGTAGTATATGATGTGAGTGTCAACGTAATGTCTGGCAGCACAAGATGGGAGAAGATCAAGAAAGGAAGAGTTAATACACAATGGAATTTTTATGAAACGCATGTATAGTAGTGACAATGGATTGATGTTTTGCAACAGGAACAGTCCAGTTCGATATGATGAACTGATATTTTGCAAATTAACGATTTACGATATGGTTTTCCAATTTTACTGAGTAACTCTGTAATATCCGTTAATACAATTCGGTTGCCCTCACCTGTGTTCTCGTTCACTACACAACAATGGTTTGCATGAAAACTGATCTCATTTGGTGATATAATCTCTGTAGTGGTTGATATCTCTAATTCATAATACTAGTTCAAATTTCGATAGGTGAAATTAGTATTTTCCTTTCCCCTACAAGCAGCAAGCAAATCAACATGTCAGATGAGAGTTATTCTAAATATTAACTGTTGATTGTTTTGTGACTGGTTGGTGTTTCGTGATTGGTTGATAGACCTGTTCAAGGTCATCAATAATTTATATCTCTACCAAATTTGTTTTGGTTAAAAGTTAAGAATTTTGTATTCGATCGACTATAATGTTTATCAATAACTTGTTGAGTAAATAAATTTTTAAACCAAAATTTTATGTCGAATAAAAATAGTATGAAGTAAATAATTGTATTTTTAATTTTTGCTGCTTCCGATCTGTAAATCAATCGTCAACAGAATATTTTTACCTGAATTCGAATATTTTTTGATGTAATCATGACCCGATAAAATGTGAGACCACTATTCAATACTTGGAAGGGTTGGATAGACTCCGCTTGGAGACTCTTTAGGAGTAGAAGGTCTTCATTTAGAAGAGTTATGACATTTGATGATGAAAGCTGAGTTTCTTCGGAAGTCACGTGGTCGATGCCATTTCTGACAGCGAGGGAAACCACTAATTTCGGTACATCGTCGACTAATCTATATAATGGATTACCAAAAAAGTGATTGTTTGAAATTGCGTCTGAATCGTTGTGTTCATCACTTTAGATAGAAACAACCGCATTATCTACATAGGTATCAAGTTCAGTTAGCCATTATTTACTTACTTTCTTACATACGCATGTTACCCCTCATGGGGCATAGAACTCTGATCAGTGAGTGATACTTTTATCTAGTTGGATTTTTATGGGATGGAGTCGTTAACTCCATGCCGGACCGAGCTCCTTTATCGTGTGTTGGGACTGACGGTAAAACTACAACTCAGAAGTAATGAATAAATTTTAACACAAATAGAAAATACGAGAGGGTACTTAGTTTGAAGTGTAAATGAAAAACACCGAGTAAACGGTAGTCTATCCGTGTAGTCAGCTTCAGAGTGAAACAAAACAAGTCGATGGTTTAATGAGCTTTATGATTTTGAGCTTTCTTGCAATCTTTCCTTTAGCCAGTCAGAATTGAATGTTTAGGGTCAGTCAGTTACAAAGTAGAACGAACTTTGTAGGTACGTTAGTTCAATTTGCCGTGCCAGAGTAGCTCACAGAGGTTGAAATGCCGATTTAAATCCTATAGTAGTTGAAGTATTAGCGGTAATCAGAAAGATTAGTGATCGAAGATATCGTTTGCGAAGTATATCTGAGAGTGATCAATTTAAAAGTAATGAAACGATCATGAGGAATTCAGAAGGTTAGGATTTGATAGAAGCCAAAGAATGAATGCATATGCGTCATTGTAAACGATTTTGAACCATATAATTCAAAGTCTCTAACCTCTCGATTACTATTAGCTTGCCGACCTCAACCTGGTAGTCTTCACCCACTAACATAGCTCAGTTCATTTGCCAATGACTTCATGGATTTGTGCTATGTTTTGGTCTGGCCACGCCTATTTTCCTTGTAGCCTACCCCTACACTAGGCATTATCAATCATCGAGGCAGTCGGTGGTCGGGCATTTGTAACACGTATCCCCCAACTACCACAACTAATGAAGTTTCACTACTTCATCTATTGATCTGCTATCCGTAATGAATACTCTTAAGGTTATGTTACTGTATAGTGAATACTTTGATTGTTGAAATTAAGACCTAGACACGATAAATACTACTGAAATGATAACAAAACCTAGATTTTTATAGTTGATTGTGGAATACAGATAAACAACTACCTTTTTTTCGGCAGTCTAAAGATAAATTTGTGGGTTTTTTTTAAAATGATCGATCGATCATAACAACCAAACAGTACATGCTAAAAGAATTGTTCTAAATGACAGTTTTCATTAATTCCTAACTAAAACACGAAACATGGATTGATAACGATGATTTATAACTGGAAAAGATAATTTTTTAATGAAAAGCAACATTAAGACAAACGATTTTAAGCACATTTTCAATCGATATTAAACTTTTAAATTCAGCTATGAATACAAAAATAGTAAAATCACCAAACTTGAAAAAAAAGTTTACTATTTATAACGTTCACTCATCAATAAAGATGTTCATATATACAACGTACTTATTTAGGCTTGTTATCTATAATGGGACAGAGGTCTTTGTACACCATTCTCCGGCCACTTCTGCCCTGACCGTTCCTTTCCAGTTCTTCCCAATTACTACTGTTCATTCTACTGTAGTCTGTTCTTGGTGCTGTGTATACCTTAGTCTGTCTCAGTCCCCTTGACCTTGAGGATTTCAAGTTAGGGTTTGCCTTGCGAGTGATTTCATCAGTGTATTTCTTATCCACCTCCAGTGATTTTCCTCATTTCTTCCTCAATGGCATTATGGTTTGTTCTCTCTCATAGTAAGTTTTTCTTGATGGTGTCAGGCCAAGGGATCCGATGTATATTATATAGACAACTGTTAATAAACTCTTGAATTTCGTAGATGATAGCTTTTGTGTTTCTCCACAGTTTCAAACTACTCATTAGAACCATTTTAAATAATGAGGAACGATGAGAGTAGGTGAGGATTCTGTATGATGAATATTTTCACAGGTGCACACCATCGTTAGGATATTCATCAAATATTCTAAATAACATTATTTTGTGAGTCTAATTCTATTGGTCAATTCCTATTGGTCAATATTGAAGGTTGTCCGAAACTATCAAGTTCACATAATTTAAAATGTTCTTTCCTATTGGGGTTAGTATCCACAGTCAACCTAACTGTATCAATTTGCATTATCTGTAAAGTTTAAGGCTCCTCTTTTTCTTCTTCTGTACTAAAACCTCATATTTTCTGGCTGCTTGTAGAATACACTTTCTATGCCATATCAAGACTTTTTGATATCGTTAGTGAGTGCTTGGGACGCTCAGATTAGAGTAGCCTATCGTGTCACTGGATCATTTGTCTTTGCTCTCGTTTACCGACTAAGGTGAACTCGGTCACACATATCATACTTGTCAAGGCATTTTATATGAAGATGAATAAAAGGTCAATTAAATAAAAGTTTTAATAGACATAAGGTGATAATTGTAAATGAAGGAGAGAGAAAATTAACGTAATATGAAAATAATAAAAAAGGGTAAGAAAATTGTCACATTACCCCCGAGGTTCAAAGATGACCAGGGTAAATTCAAGGTTATGACAAACTGTTTCTACACACATAAGGGGGATTTTAATTTTCTAATAGCCAAGGCCTCCATAAACCTCAAAATTCGTCCTTCAACATTTCTATACAATGTTTTGAAGGCTGTCTTCATGTCAATCTTATGCCCTGTCTCAATTATGTGTTTGGCGATCGATGAACATGGTTTTCTATTTCCAACGTTAGTCGGCTCATTTGACGTTAACTGATTTTGAAGCCACTTAGGTACATGTTCCACAACCCTTGATTGCAAAGTCCGATTACTCCTCCCTATGTATGTGTTTCCACACAAACATGTAAATTGATAAATACAATGGGATGTGATGTAATCATTCGAGCGACGTTTAGGTATATGTGAAATCATGGACTTGGTCTTTTCAATGATAAACAGCTTAGCAGCGTTGTATGTTTTCTCTATGGCTGCTTTTAGTCTCTCTCTGTCTTAATATTAGACCATTTGCTTCACTTCTAAATGGTAAAGTGATATAAACCTTTTTCTTCTCAGCAGAATGAAATACTTGTTTCTGTCTTAACTGATCTCTTCAGCTAATGATCAACTTTAGCGGATAGCCATTTGAAATCAATGCTTCAGTTAAGAATTTTACATCGTCTTCAAATGTATTCGTGGTGCAAATCCTTTGAGCCCTATTGAAGAGGCATTTTACTAAACCTCGTTTATATTGCAGTGGATGAAAACTGCTTCCTATAAACAGACCGCTTTATAGTTCCATTATCTCTTCGGCTCAACAATATGTCTAAAAAAGGCAATCGATTATTATCTTCTGGTTCATGAGTTAGTACAATATCATTCTGAAGACTATTAAAGTTTTCCAGTAACTGAAAGACATTAAGTTCTTTATCACATATAATTAAAATATGATCCATATATCTCCTATAGAGAGTAAGCTTATTAATGTGCTGCTCATTCCACAAATTTTCAGTATATGCCATATAAACATCAACTAAAAGACAGATCCCAAAGGACTACCTACCCATAGCGCAACGCCATCAACTTGCTGGAAATGTTCATTATCAAACGTGAAATGAACTTTCTCAGTGCATAATAAAAAAATAATTCTCTTAGTAGACTTGATTGAACGGGAAAAAGGGGGGAACTACTTAATATCTGAAAAATTAACATATTTTCATTAGGGGAACATTGGTTGTTCGAAATGTATAGCGCGCAATATACATCACACTATTTTACAGATCAATTACGTCTTCTCACTGTTCTATCAAAATTTATCAAAAATGGACTACTACTAATTGTTTTAAATCAATTTCATCACAGGAAAAATCAATAAATTATTTCGTGACTTTTATGACAAGCGTCGGTGTCAATAAATCATTCGAATGAATTTCATTTATCTAGTCAAATGAATGAAATTCATTACTATACATTTACATCCTTGGAAATCAGAATGCATTTAACTGTGTAGACAAGAGAATACTATGAAGCCTTTCTGAACGCTATAGTTTACCAGGAAAGATAGTCAACGTCATATGGACTACACTGTATGTAGACGGGTAGCTTACAGATTCATTTTTAAGAGAAGACAGGTTTTTCGACAAAGTTGTTTACTCGTCTAGCGGCTAGTTGAAATCTCCTCATCTGAAGGGAGGTATGTGAAATATGATGGACAGTTCACATTCAGTTAGATAATTTTCGAACTTTGCAGATGATCTATCTTGTCTATCTTACAACACTCAGCAACAAATGAAAATGAAGACAGTTATTGTACACGAGAACTCTAGAAGAGGTGTAGACGTTTATATAACTGGGCAGCGTCATTGGTGAACAATATGGATGTGATACACGATTGAAGATAGGAATCAAAGCATCTGAAACAGTTGTGAACCAACAGTGAAGTCAGGATTTTCATTACAAATTTCAAGACATTTCTTTTATATATGTCTTTGAAACTTGACGAACTGTAATAACCATCATTAAAAAAAAGTACAGTAATTTATAACCAATTGTCTATGCAAGATACTTCGAATCTGCTAGTTGGACAACATCAACAATAATCAATTGTGAGACAGAATAAACCAGCTTCCATTTGAAAATGAAACTGAGAAAAATGATGAAGATGGATAGGATTAATATAATAGAAGTCATTCAAGTGCGTGACTTGACAAGCCTTCATTCATATAAATTCACCAAGGCCAAGGGATGGTAAAGAAAGAAAGAACTTAGGGCTGGGAATTGAACTTTATTTACTTACCTACTTACGCCGGTGACTGCCAGTGGAATTTTTACAACCAACCAGGATTCTCCAATCTACTCTTTCCTGGGCATTTCTTTCCACTTCCATCCAACTGCTATTCATTGTTCTAAAATCTGTCTCATTTTTTAGGCCTACTATGATCTTTGGCTTTGAGGATTCTAAGTTCTGCCTTGCCTTGTGATGCAGTTATCACTGGAGATAAGAGAGGTATTAGGAGGTGCAGGAAGAATTTAATTTTGACCAATTTGGTCTCGTGTGCTGTTACGGGGATGAGGGCGGTTGTCACTTCCCGGCTGCCTACACCGTGGAAGGGTAGTTCTTGAGGGACCCGAAAAGGAAGATAGATTAGTGTTAGTCTTAGAGACCTGGGTGCGTGACCGCAGAGACCAAGGGACAACCGCTTGAGGCCGGTCTTTCATGGTCTTTTTATGAAAGGTTTTTTGAGTATTAGCTCCGCTCTTGAAAGCCCTTAGTGGGCACCCTTACCGACGGAGACGGAAATCCGTGAGTTAGGGGAGGTGTGACATTTTTAGGATCGACCTTTTCTAACCCTTCCTTCCTTGTGAGAAGGCAGCATCGCTGCAGATGCTGGTTATCCGAGGGAAACACCTTACTGCTGTCATTACACCCTTCTGCAGTCAGCAGTACGACTTCGCCCTCAGAACTTGAGTAGCTGCTTTTAGTCTCATCGTTCTCTAATCGACCTGCCTGACATGGTAGAACCTTCAGGAACATATGTTCCAGCCAATATAGCTTGGTTGGGTCATCACGATAGGCAAGCCCGACCACCACGTCAAAGTAGCAGATTAGATCGGGTGATGCAGTTATACATTTTCCTCATTATGTGTCCTATCTTCTTCCGGTGCTTCCTCCTAGTCTCTTCCTCCACTGTAATGTGATTTATTCTCTTCCACAGTAGGGTTGTTGCTGATAGTGTCTGGCTAGCGTATGTGACGTATCCTGCGTAGACAACTGTTAATAAATATATGTACCCTTTGGATATTTGATTTCTTGGTTCTTCAAGTAAGTAAGTAAGTAAGTAAGTAAGTAAGTGCATAAGTAAGTAAGTAAGTGAGTGAAGTAAGTAAGTGCATAAGTAAGTAAGTAAGTAAGTGCATAAGTAAGTAAGTAAGTGCATAAGTAAGTAAGTAAGTGAGTAAGTAAGTAAGTAAGTGCATAAGTAAGTAAGTAAGTAAGTAAGTAAGTAAGTAAGTATGTAAGTAAGTAAGTAAGTAAGTAAGTAAGTAAGTAAGTAAGTAAGTAAGTAAGTAAGTAAGTAAGTAAGTAAGTAAGTAAGTAAGTAAGTAAGTAAGTAAGTAAGTAAGTAAGTAAGTAAGTAAGTAAGTAAGTAAGTAAGTAAGTAAGTAAGTAAGTAAGTAAGTAAGTAAGTAAGTAAGTAAGTAAGTAAGTAAGTAAGTAAGTAAGTAAGTAAGTAAGTAAGTAAGTAAGTAAGTAAGTAAGTAAGTAAGTATGTAAGTATGTAAGTAAGTAAGTAAGTAAGTAAGTAAGTAAGTAAGTAAGTAAGTAAGTAAGTAAGTAAGTAAGTAAGTAAGTAAGTGCATAAGTAAGTAAGTAAGTAAGTAAGTAAGTAAGTAAGTAAGTAAGTAAGTAAGTAAGTAAGTAAGTAAGTAAGTAAGTAAGTAAGTAAGTAAGTAAGTAAGTAAGTAAGTAAGTAAGTGCATAAGTAAGTAAGTAAGTGAGTGGCGAAGTAAGTAAGTGCATAAGTAAGTAAGTAAGTGCATAAGTAAGTAAGTAGGTGCTTAAGTAAGTAAGTAAGTAAGTAAGTGAGTAAATAGGTAATATAATAAAAAGTTTATCCCATCAGAATTTATTAAAAAAATTTTAATCACCGCTTACGCCTGAATTATCGCTAAAATTCTCTTTTTCTGATCTCAGCTCTTATAATTATTACTATTTACGTCTTTTTTTACTTCACAGGTATTGTTGACAATCATCAGTTGGACAATTGTACACAAACTGCACAAAGAAATTATGTTGAATTAAATAGTAATTTTAATTTTCTAGAATTTTCCATTGATCAATTAAATGAAATGAATTATTTTGAGCATAAAATTTCATTGAATTCATTACAAATTATTATGAAAATCATTACAGATCAAATGGAATTTCGCAGAGCATTTCTTGAATATTTACCAATTTTAACACAACGAAATTATGCTGGTTCATAGTAAGTTTAGAAAGAAATAAAAAAATTCTTACCGATATGTATATATATATATATATATATATATATATATATATATATATATTGTGATTTTTTAATTCGTTTTTCTGGTTGCCGTTATTTTGAGCGGGTTCGTTTTCTATGGGGTTGGGTCGCTAACCTCATGTCCACCCCTCCTGGTTTGTCTAGGCTTGGGACCGTCAGTAACCACAGTAGGGAAAGATTCTCAGACACAACATGACATACAGCGACCAAATCACATTTAACAAAGAGGCTTTAGGGCGATATAAAAACCTCTACATATCTGGGTAAAATCATTCATGAGCAAGGTGAATCTGGTGCAGATATGAAGGTGTGGATTAACAAAGCATGAGTAACATTTCTACAATGAAAGAACATTTGAAGCTCAAAATAACTATCAGCCAACACCAAAGTCACAATTTTCAGTGTGCTGAAAATTGTCAAGAAGGTTCTACTGTATGGAGCGGAAGCTTGGAGAACCACAAAAGACATCGTTTAAATGATACAGGTGTTTATTAACAGTTGTCTACGCAAAATACTTCTCATCCGTTGGCCAGACACTATTACCAACAACCTACTGTATGAGAGAACAAACAAGATTCTAGTGGGGGAAGAGGTCAGGAAGAAGCGTCAGAAATGAATAGGACACACATTGAGGAAAGTATCCAACTATGTCACAAGACAAGCCCTCATCTGGAATCTCTCAGGTTTAAGGAAAAGAGGAAGGCCAAGGAACACATTACTCCTGGAAGTGGAGACAGACATGAGAAGAATGAATTATAAATAGAAGCAACTGTAAAGGTGAGTTCAACATAGAATTACTTGAATAATGCTAGTCGGCGGTCAATGCTCGACTGGGATTAACAGGCATAAGTAAGAAAGCAAGGAATTGAAGGAGTTTGTGGAGATTGTGTTATTTCCTCAGTTAAAATTATGAACTTATCTAAGCAAAACTATTCTCAGAGATTTAAAGGCATTTGATGGCGGTTTCGTCTTCGTATGGGGCTTATCAGCAGTACACATCCACAACTCCTTCACAAAACATTCGGTTCTATGCTTAACCTCAAGACCAGTGAGTCAGCATCTCATGGTATTATTGTATCACTTCAATCAATCCATGATGTTCATACAGTGACTGAATAAAATTAAAACTAAAATGTAACAGTTTCAGTTAACAGAGAAGAGAATAGTAAAACATTTATAAATTAGTCTTGGAAATAGGGTTGTTTTAAGTTATTGAATCGTTCCTTGTACCCTTCTATTCGTTGTTGATTTGACTGGAAAGTTGGTATTCTATTGAAAAGTAGACAGTTCTATACATTTTAAACTTATTTGAGTAACCTAAAAATGTTTTAGGAAACAAGAAAATTGAAGGTAGGTTGAATGAAAAATTATTTTTAGTTTGTTTGAAGATAATGATCAAATCATCTTCCATACCTCACTATGATAGGGTTTATCTAATCTTTCGTCATACGATAATTTTGGAGTTCCAGGAATTTTGTACAACAACTTACTGTTAAATCTAAGTGCAAACGAGCTCCTTATGTGGTACAGTTGAGTTTTGGTAGGATCAATAATTTATAAAATGTCATGAATGTCTTGGCATCTAGGTGAGTAGATTTTGAGACCTCTAATAGCTACTACCAAGCAGTGTGCAATAGGCTTCTTACCTTGAATTATAATGAGTTTAATACATGTAAACAAAGAGTAAGTAACTAAACGTAGTTCGCTATGTTTTGGCTGCCGAAACTCCGCCTGATGAGTCGTTCTACAGGTTACTACAGGTTTCAAATCCGGATAGAAGAAGACTGTTGGGTATGTTGTTGGCGATCCGGTCCCATAGAAATCCAATTCGCTAAAAACTCGCGACCTACGCTCCGTTATGGGTAACAGACGTAAATAAGTAAGTTAGTTTGGTTGTCAAAGTTAACCATCATGCATTTTAAAGCATTATACTGTAACACATGTAACCAGCAGTCGCTGAAGGGCGGATAGGATCTAAAATCACAACACACAAGGTTAGTTTAACATCTCACTCACACCAAGAGAGAACACGAAGTGGTAGCCACGGAACTCTTTTATTTGAAAATTGAAATACGCGGGATTTGTACAGAAAAGGGTGGCTAGTTTATCAAAGCCTTATGAGTCATCCTGTAAGTTCAGAGCTCTCAGGGCCTGTTCTTCAGCTTCCAAAGCGTTTATTATTGATCGCCTTGAAATAGAAAGAAAACAGAACGGGTTAACAACATCATACATGGTGATTTTGACTCCGTTACACTACCCCCTCTCCGAATGAGGCACTGTCCTCATCGCCTGATCTGGGACAATGATATGCTGCTCCTCCTTCAGGCGGTATCTCATAAAAATTAGTAAAAGGCGGTAGGTCTGTGAACCGAACATCAGCAGGTATTGTTGTCCGATCTGGCTTTATTTGATTGTAGTGCACCATTGGTACGTCGTCCGGAGGTCGTTGCGGGTTACGTAACACAACCGTCGTGGGGGATCGGATGAGGACGATTTCGAAGGTGCCGTGCCAAGGCTGGTGGAATTTACTGCAACTCCCTATCGATGTCATGGGTGATAGACATGTATGGCAATTCTTTTCACAGTTCGTATAGATAAAACTTCTATTTAACGACTTAGTTTCATGTGTGTGATTAAAACTGAAGATCTTATGCATGACAGAAAGTGAAATAGGATTATTCTATGAGTTTCAAACTTTATATCAGTCTGAATGAGTGTTTTATAACATTTTCCACTGGCACTTTCCAGTTCGGCGGCCTTCACTCCACGAGATGTAACAGGAGTAACTAAAAACTAAGTAATCACTTGAACTAGTGATCATATTGCGTGATCAATAACGACTTTATATGTATGAAATTCGTTATTATTCATTACTACAATCATGATCGATTTGAACTGGAGTAAGTAAAGCTTATATATGTCTACTTATGCCTGTTACCTCTCGTGAAACCTGCATAGTCCACCGACTAGTAAACTCTAGGCTAATCTATCCTAAACTGTTTCAAGTGTTATTTATTCATCAAACTATCAAGAATGACAAAATGTTAACAATCATTACAAAATCAATAAAATTCATACTACACTTTAAACTATGATACGCTTTTTTTTATCAAGCTAAATTTGATTTATTTTACGAGATAATGAAATAGACAGACAGACAGACAGATAGAACGCAGAAATTCGTACATAAGTACATCAGTTCAGGTTTCCATACAACATCAACACACAGACGCAACTGTCAGTTCAAATCCGAGAGTGATAGTGATAGTAGAAGTATTAGCAATAATGGAGAAGATTAGGGAGTGAAGTTATGATTCGAAAAGTATAATTCAGTGTGATGAATTTAGAAGGAGTAAGGTAAAGATTATGAGGAATTCAGAAGGTTAGAATTAGAGAGAACATAAACAGTGGATGTATTTGCGGCATTGCAAACGATTTTGAACAATGTCGTTCAAGGTCTCTAACCATCGGCGACTATCGTAGCCTACATCTGCCAACATGACTCAGTCCACTTGTCAGTGACTTCATTGATTTCTGCTACGTTTTGGTTTGGCCACCCTTAGCTTTCCTCTAACCTACTCCTATACCACAAAACATAGCTCGTCGAGGCAGTCGTTGGTTAGCCATACGTAACACATGTCTCAACCACATCAACTGATGAAGTTTCACTACTACTGAAATAGAAACATAATTTAAAACAATCAGTCCATGAAATGACTTAAAAATTATCAAGGTAAATTCAAGGTTACAACAAATTTTTCTTGTACACATTAGGTGGGTAGCCAAGGCATCGATAAGCCTCAGAATTCATCCTTGAACGTGTTTATACAGTGTTCTGTCTTATATCAATCCTATGCTCCTTCGCCATTATGGGTTTTGCGATTGATGAACATGCTTTCCTATTGCCAGTGTTCATCGGGACATTTGGGCATATGTTCCATAACTCTTGATTGGAATGTTCAATTACTCCTACCTATGTATATGTGCAATGGCATGTGTTGTAATCGCTCGAGCAATGTCTAAACCTATGTGAAATCATTGGTTTTGTCCTTTGAATTAGAGTCAGTTTAACAGCATAATATGTTTTTCCGATGGCTGCTTTTAGTCCCTATCTTAAAATCAAACTGTTTCATTCACCTCTAAATAGTGAACAGATATAAACACTGTTTCTTTCAAACAAAATAAAATAGAGGTTTTTGCCATAGTCAGTCAGTCAGTCAGATGCAACGTAGAACTTCGTACGTAAGTACATCAGTTCATGTCGCCATACCACATCAGCATAGAGATGTAGTTATCAATACAAATCCAATAGTAGAAGAGGTAGTAACGGTATTAGGAGTAATCGGAGAGGTTAGGATTAGAAGATATTATTCAAGAAGTATGATTTAATGAGAAAAGTTTAGAAAGTCAAAACTAGATTTCTTGAAGAACCCGGAAGATTAGGATTTGAGAGAACACAAAGAATAAATGCACTGGCGCCATTGCGAAAGATTTTGAGCCATGTCATTCAAGGTCTCTAACCATCGATTATTATCGTCTCGCGGACCCCAACGTGGTAGTCGACAACTACCGACATGACTCAGTCCACTTGTCAATGACTTCATGGATTTCTGCCATGTTTGGGTTTGGCCGCCCCTAACTTTCTTCCAACCTATTCCTACACTACAAAGCAAAGCTCGTCGAGGCACTCGGTGGTTCGGCATACGCAGCACATGTCACAATCACTTCAACTGATGAAGTTTCATTACTTCATCTATTGATCTGCCATTCTTACCTAGCACCCATTTCCTAATAACAGCGTTGCTCACTCGGTTGTCCCACGATATACGAGCAATGCTTCGAAGACACCTATGATCGAAAACCAGTAAGTAACCTACGAATATCTTCTACTCTTACTGGCCATGTTTCAGAGCCATAAAGTAAGACGGAGCGAACCACTGCGCAGTACGGTTTTTGCCATAACTGACTTTTATACTTATTTATTAAACTTTAGTGGTGGAAAACTATTGGAAATCAATGTTTTAGTGAACAGTTAGGCATTGTCTTCAGAAGTATCTGTCATATTTAGAGTCTTTGCGTGCTGATCTTCAACAATGACTGATATTTTGTGGTTTCTTATTCTCTTTCTAGGATTTTAGAATTTCTTGTTTACAATTTTTTGTTAGAATCAAATATAAATTTTACACCATAACATTTTCTCTACTATTTATAAACTACATGTTTCGAATTATTCTGAAAATAATTTTTAAAACAAATTAAAAAAACATTGAGGAAAAATTACCTAAAGTAGAAAAGTAATGCTTATAATTTAAATATTCAATCACACTAAAAAATTGAACATTGAAATAATTGGCGCAAAATTGAAAAAAAAACTGTTTGATTTCATTTTTTAATTGGATTTATTGTCGTTAATTTACACTAACAACATGTCCGAACAGTTTTTGTTGTGAATCAATTATACAATCTTATTTAGACAAACACTTTTTCTGTCTGAAGGTTATTTATTGAACGTTTAACCTAGTGCTTATTGATTTGTTAAAATCGATGGTTTTTACGCGTGGCTCATAAGAATGTAGGATGTTTTTCAATGAACTGTTCATTATTTTAACATTGTATATGAATGAAGATTCATTTTAAATTATAACAACGTATTTATTGATTTATTCAACTGTACACAGTACAAACTGTCAATGAAAACAAACGATAAATCAGATGAAATTTGATATTTCAGTAAACTGTTTTAATTTTCTAACAAACTAAATCAATGTTGTTTTTGACGAGTGACGTAATACATGAAACACTTCATCGAAAATCAGAATAAAAACATATAGTACATTACATTTTCTAAGAAATAACAAGTTATTATGTCAAGGGGGCTTATAGACTTTTACACATCATAATTAACATTATTCTAAATGATAACCGATCGATAGAATTAGATCAACACCGAGAAAGGTCTGATACACATGATATTGATCGCTGTGAATCTGGATGATACAGGATCTAATCTATCATGGAGCTCATATTCACTCAGAATTACATGTACGCCTTTCTGAAGAGTGGTGCCTAATAGTACGGAAACTAGGTCTAGGGTTTTGATATGCTTGAAGCTGTTACGGGTTCGCCTTACTCGGTAAACGGAATGAAGATGAATGATTTAGCGACACGATAGGTTACTCTAATCTGATTGTCACAGGCCCCACTAACTAAAGGAAATGTATTCCAAAGGCAACCAGAAAGTATGAGGTCCACAAGCGCTTAACTCAAGTTTATTTACTCAATGATAAAATGACTTTGGGTGAGAGCCACAAAATAATCGATTAACCAATCGTAGTCAAGGATTTTCCGATTGGGAAATACAAGCTGAGGGTCAAAATGAGTATCTTTAGCGTGAACACATAAAATTCAAACTGTCAAAATAAAATCATAATATTAGGACCTTTCCCAAGTGAGTTCTGGGGATTTAAGATGCACCACAGATTTCTTGTTAAATACTTCCAACCTTCATCTTACATCTTAACATAGGGCAAATGATGTTAATGAAAAGGCCGTCAGACGACACCATCAGGCAATGTCCTTGAGGATGAACGCATATCTTCGGTTGACAAATGACTTTCTGATCTGAGAAAGTCAATACATATTACATACATGGGTATCTGTTCATGCTGTTTGATAATCAAACAGACTTTCTCTTCTACTCTCTTTACATTCTAGCTCAGTTAGCCATTTTGGTTGGGTTAGAACTTGTAATGATTTAGCAAATGTAAACAGTCTGAGTAATGAACTTTTAGATCCATGTATCCCCTGAACCCACCTCTCCAATTGTATTGATAATTTTGAAAGTGACCAGAATTGATGAGATATTCCTCTCTCTACTGATCTACTGGGTTCGTTTTTTTTTCAAAATTCATGTAGAACAATCCTGTGTAATGCATATTTAGAAAGAATTCGTTCTAGGCAACGTATTTCACTTGTTCTATTACTTACTTACTTACTTACTTACTTACGCCTGTTACCCCCAATAGAGCATACGCCGCCCACCAGTTTTCTCCAACCAACTCTGTCCTGGGCTTCCCTTTCCAGTTCTGTCCATCACTTTTTCTATAGATGTAAGTTAATGCAGGCCATAGTTGAGGCTTATGCTTAATATACAAGGATGATATGTAAGTTGGCGGAGCTCGGTGATATTTGTGGCATTCTGAACGATTTTCCAGATAGCCATTTTTGATAAGTACGTAATGCAATTCAAATATATATACCGTCGTCATTCACCGCCATTAATGCACATTTGTCCGGTTCCTGTAATTCACCATTCTACATCAACTTTATCGACTACGAGAAAGCATTTGATAGCGTCGATAGGAAAACACTGTGGAGGCTTCTTCGACACTACGGTGTGCCTGACAAAATAGTTAACATCATACGGAATTCTTATGATGAATTCAACTGCAAAATCGTACACGAAAGACAGCTAACAAACTCTTTCATGGTGAAGATCGGTGTCAGACAAGTTTGCTTACTCTCACCCTTTCTCTTTCTCCTGGTGATCGACTGGATTATGAAGACGTCGACATCTGGAGGGAAGCACGGTATCAACTGGACAGTTAGGACGCAGCTGGACGATCTGGACTTCGCGGATGATCTGGCTCTTCTATCGCACGCTCAACAACAAATGCAATGAGAAGACGACCAGTGTAGCAGCAGCCTCTGCAGCAGTAGGTCTCAACATACATAAAGGAAAAAGCAAAATTCTCCGATGCAACACAACATGCACCAACCAAATCACTCTTGATGGAGATGCCTTGGAGGACGTTAACACCTTTACATAACTGGGCATCATCATCGACGAAAAAGGTGGATCCGATGCAGATGTGAGGGCGCGGATTGGTAAAGTGAGGGCTGCATTTCTACAACTGAAAAATATCTGGAACTCCAAACAACTTTCAACCAAAATCAACATCATGATTTTCAATACAAATGTCAAGACAGTTCTACTGTATGGAGCGGAAACTTGGAGAACTACCAAAGCCATCATCCACAAGATGCAAGTGTTTATTAACAGTTGTCTTCGCAAAATACGTCGGATTCGTTGGCCAGACATGATCAGCAACAACAAACTGTGGGAGAGAACAAACCAGATTCCAGTTGAGGAAGAAGTGGTGTAGGTGGATAGGACACACACTACGTAAAGCACCTAACTGCGTCACAAGACAAGCCCTCATATGGAACCCTCAAGTAAAAAAGGAAAAGAGGAAGGCCAAGGAACACATTACGCGGAGAAATAGAGAAAGATATAAGAGGAATGAACAAACATTGGACAGAGCTGTTGAGGGAAGCCTAGGACAGAGTTGGTTGGAGAAAACTGGTGGTCGGCCTATGCTCCATTGGGGGTAACAGGCGAAAGTAAGTAAGTAAGTAAGTAAGTGTCCGGTTCCTGTGACTAGAGAATAACTCAAAATTCTTATCCCATTCAGTGGGACATAACTGTACAAAATTACTACATAGACTATCACAAATTGGATTTTTTTTCGCATAAATTCACTTGATTTGGAAGAGAATTGATTTCGATTTATATATAATATACTCATCTATTCTGTTTGCCTTCATTTTAATTTCAATCATTCCTTGTCTCTTTTTTTTTCTTCTCATTTTCTTGTTAAATAATAATTGAACAGTTTTATTAAATGTGTCGATAGAATTATTCAAGATGATTATATACCGACTTTACAAGATTTATTGATTATGAAACAATCATCGAAAGCTGTCAGAGAATCTCTCATCTCGATTGGATCAGTAACATTGAGGTAAATGAAATCATGGTTAAGTATTGTTTTAATAATAATAATAATATTTGCCAAATTTTTTTGAATATATCAAGTTTTATTTATTAACTTACTTATGTCACTGACCAGCATTCTCCAACCTACTCTTCTATCCTAGGCCTCCCTATCTAGGGTCAGTCCAACTGTTATTCATTCTTCTCATGTCTGTTTGCATTTCACGGAATAATGTGTCCCTAGGTCTATCTCTTATTCTTTGATATCAAGGATTTCAAGCGGGGGGTTTTTATTGTGACGCAGTTGGATGCTTTCCGTAATATGTGTCCTATCCACCTTCCAGTGATTCTTCCTGATTTCTTCCTCTATTCGAATCTGGTCTGTTTTCGGTCACAGTAAACTGTCGCTGATGGTGTCAGGTCAACGAATCTAAAGTATCTTCCAAGGACAGCTTTCAACAAACACTTGTATGTTGTGGATGATGGCTTTTGCAGATCTCCAAGTTTCCGCAGAACTATCTTGACGTTCGTATTTAAAATCCTGACTTTGGTTTTGGTTGGCAGCTGTTGATATTTTGCGTTTGCTTTGCTAATCCGTGTCTTCACGCCTGCATCATCTTGCTCGTCGTGTCAAAAATGTTAGTTTTAACTATGATAGTGCTGTTTTCAAAAAAACACTCGCAATTAAACTACATGTATTCAAGTACAAAGGGTTTGTAAAGAGATTATCGAATTTTGATAGTCTCTACTTTAAGGGTCGATGTTAGTTTGTTGAAAATTCTCCATACCCAGATTGTAAAGTCTTATCAATGTTTGTAAAATGAATGTATTTTCTCTTGACAGGTGTTAGTATTTTACAATCAGAATTGGTTTAACTGTAAATAATTTAACTGTGTTTATTGGGTGTGGCAGTGTTGAGGATGTTAGATCCCCAAAACTCGCTTGTTAAATGCCTTATTTTGGATTTCATGTTTGCCAGCATGGGCTGATCAGTTGACCTTGAGATTTCATTTCCCACCAAGAAAATCCATGGCTGTGATTGGCTACTGTGTATTTTAGTCTGCTATTTTCGTAACTGTCCCAAGGACGTTTCTATGATATATAAATAAACGAGAGTTGTGTGCTTGATTGTATTGTGATTGCTGGGTGTTTGTGAAATATACTTTCTACGCTTTCAAAGCCTCCTATCTTCAGCTTGTGATTCAAGGTAGCCTATCTGGACTCTGGTAATTGTCTCGTTCGCATTTTATCGACCAAGGTGAACTCGTAATAGCTTCAAGCGTACCTAGTGACGAATCCTACAGGCAGATATGTACTGTACCAACCAATCAGAGAAAATCATAGGTGTCATAGAATCAGGAAATAGATCAAAAGTGGGATACAATCAAAACAAAGTTGCAAACAACGACAGATTTAAGGTCAACAGCAACCAATGAAGATCGAGGCTAACAACTACGGGTCAAACGTGGAGAAATTCGAATACTTCACTTCTGCCATCTAAAGTTTGTGCTGATGATGTTGTTCAGAAGGAGAACAATAAAAGCTTCATAACCAAAATATCCAGCTCAGAGAACGAAACACCATCACCGGCTAAAAAATTTCTACACCATCTCAAGACTTAACAATCTCCACAACCCCATAATTTGGAAAATATTCAATGTTTAAACCAACCTTTAACTATCAGTTTAATGAATTCAATATACCTGTATATGATGAAAATGTATTCGAGCCAATTGAAAATTTTGTACATACCTTGTAACATTATTTTGAAATTTTTTTTTTCTAATTCACGTGTACCTACTTTTTTATTAATTAGTATGTTGTTTTTGTAATTAACAATTTCCTGTACAATAAACAATGTTCAAAAAACAATGTCCTTGTTTAAATTAACTAATGTTATGATTTCATTTTATCACTCACTTAAAATGTTTTAATGTTCAAATAATGAAAGAGTGTGAAATAAATGTTGAAGGAATATTTTTTTATGTGAACAATAAATACTCTGTAGTTTAAGTTTAATATTCTTTGAAGAAAAAGTTAAATCTATTTGAACATTGATTTATTCAGTTATCATGATAAAAAAAAAACACTGAAATCTTCATTGGAATTAAGTTAACCTACGATAATTGTGAGATTATCTTATGATTGAAGTGTTAGAATAATAGTTTCACGAATTGTTAGAGATTTAGCTCAAAATCGTTTGTAATGGCGTGAGTGCATCTACTCTCTGTATTCTCTCAAATTCTAACCTAATGAATTCCTCATCATCTCCATCTTTCTCTTTTTAAGTTTATCTCACTGAATTATACTTCTAGAATCATATCTTCGCTTGTGGTGGTGTTTCGTTCTCTGAGCTGGTTGTTTTGGTTGTGGAGCTTTCATTGTTCTTCTGATGATGTTGTTCAGAAGAACAATGAAAGCTCCACAACCAAAACAACCAGCTCAGAGAACGAAACACCACCACAATCATCCACCTGAGCTACAAGTTTTCTCCACCATCTCATATCTTCGCTCCCTAATCTTCTCCATTGCTGCTAATACTTCTACTATCGTTACCACTATTGGATTTGTAATGACAGTTGCATCTCTGTGCTGATGTGGTATGGCAACCTGAACTGATGTACTTATGTACGAAGTTTTGAGTTGTATCTGTCTGTCTGCCTAGGATAATAGTTGGTCGCCATTTCGCAGAGTAATGTTTTCTTTGTTCTATCACTTTTCTTTCGGTCTAGAGGATTATATATGAAGCCTTGTCTAGTAACGTATTGTGGAGCTCTCTTCAATGTAAGTTCAATTCACTTCCGGCTACTCTTCCCGATTTGTTCCTCCACTCGAATCTGATTTGTTCTCTCCCACGGCAGGTTGTTGTTGATAGTGTCAGGTCAATGGGTTCATAGTATCTTGTGTAGACAACTGTTAATAAACGTTTGTACTTTGTGAATGATAGCTTTCGTGATTTTGTGAGTTTCTGCTCAACCACCGTATAAAATTATTATGAATTAAGAAACCTTGTTGCGTGTGCGATAGAAAAGCCAGGTCATCTGCGAAGTCCAGATCTTCCAGCTGCGTCCTAACTGTCCAGTTGATACCGTGCTTCCCTGCAGATGTCGACGTCTTCATAATCCAGTCGATGACCAGGAGAAAGAGAAAGGGTGAGAGTAAGCAAATTTGTCTGACATCGATCTTCACCACGAAAGAGTTTGTTAGCTGTCCTCGTGCACGATCATGCAGTTGAATCCATCATAAGAATTCCGTATGATGTTAACTATCTTCTCAGGCACACCATAGTGTCGAAGAAGCTTCCACAGTGTTTTCCTGTCGACGCTATCAAATGCTTCCTCGTAGTCGATGAAGTTGATGTAGAGTGGTGAGTTCCATTCAATTGATTGTTCCACAATGATCCGTAATGTAGCGATTCGGTCAGTACACGATCGATTCTTACGAAATCCAGCATGTTGACCTAGAAGTTGGACGTCTACGAAGTCCTTCATCCTGTTAAACAATACCCTGTTGAAGACTTTGCCTGGTATTGAAAGAAGAGTGATGCCTCTGTAGTTCTCACACTTGTTGAGATCGTCTTTCTTTGGTATTTTGATGAGGTATCCTTCTTTCTAATCTGATGGTACTTGTTCCTCATCCCAAATCTTCTTGAAGAGGATGTGAAATAATTTCGCAGTTGCTTCTACATCTGCTTTCATTGCCTCTGCTGGAATGTTGTCTGGTCCTGCTGCTTTGCCGTTCTTGATTTGTCTGATGGCCATACTGATCTCCTCAATCGTAGGTGCGCCAATATTAATTGGGAGGTCCGTGGATGCTGCTTCGATGTTGGGTGTGTCCAATGGAGCTGGTCGATTCAAGAGTTCCTGAAAGTGCTCTACCCACCTATTTCGCTGTTGTTCAGCGTTGCTGATTACTTTGCCTCCCTTGCTTTTCACTGGTCATTCTGGTTTACGATGGTTTATATTTTATCAAAAACAGAAAAAATACTTAGACATTTAGGTTACAATCTACTGAGAAAAATATGATCATCTATGAGATGTTGATTCCAGAACTGTTTTGCTTACAGATTACAATTAATATAAGTTTCCTAACTGAAACTTATTGAAATATTCAATGTTCAGAGCTACAAATTTTCTATTCAACATGTAAAATATTGAACAAAGTCAATATCGTAATTATGATTGTTATCGCTTCAATGTTCAGTCAGTCAGTCAGATGCAACGTAGAACATTACATCAGTTCATGTTGCCATACCACATCAGCACAGAGCGATCTAATTGTCAATTCAAATCCAATAGTAGTAGAGGTAGTAAAGGTATTAGAAGTAATCGGAAAGGTTAGGATTAGAAGATATTATTCAAGAAGTATGATTCAGTGAGAGAAGTTCAGAAAGTCAAAACTAGAGTTGTTGAAGAATCCAGAAGATTAGGATTTAAGAGAACACAAAGAATAAATGCACCGGCGCCATTGCAAACGGTTTTCAGCCATGTTATTAAGGGTCTCTAACCATCGATTATTATTATCTTGCGGACCCCACTCAACCAGGTAGTCGACAACCACTGACATGACTCAGTCCACTTGTCAATGACTTCATGCATTTGTGCCATGTTTTGGTCTGGCCGCCCATAGCTTTCTTTCAAACTATTCCTACACTACAAAACATAGCTCGTCGAGGCAGTCGGTGCTTAGGCATACGCAGCACATGTCCTAACCACCTCAACTGATAAAGTTTCATCACTTCATTTATTGATCTGCCATTCTTACCTAGCACCCGTTTCCTAATAACAGCGTTGCTCACTGGGGTGTCCCAGGATATACGAGCAATACTTCGAAGACACCTATGATCGAAAACCAGTAACCTACGAATATCTTCTACTCTCATTGGTCATGTTTCACAGCCATAAAGTAGGACCGAGCGAACTACTGCACACTACACTCGTCCTTTAGTCAGCAAACAGATATCTCGCTTACGCCATAAGTGACGCAGGTTGGCAAAAGCCAATCGAGCCTTCTGTATACGTGCTGAGATTTCGTCAGTCACCAGGCCATCAGCACTGATGAGACTCCCCAGATAAATGTAGCGGTCAGCATGCTCGACTACTTCACTCCCTATCACTAGGTCAAGTGCCAATATAACCCAATCTTGAAGCAACACTTTGCGTTTCGATGGTGAGAACCGCATCCCGAACATGCTTGCATTGTTACTTAGGGTAGTCAGAAGACTCTGCAGTTTGTCAGTGTCTTCAATAACTGATCAATTTACATTGAACAATATTTTAGTTCAACAGCCTATTTATTCGTTCATTGATTCATTCAAACATTATCATATTCAATTCGTTCAATGAAATTTTTTCAAAATATTGAACATTCTTTGCATAATATATCACATGTATTGATTACTAGTGTGTTCCAGAACTTTCCATCACTCTCTTTCTCTCTCTTTTGATTTTTCGCATTTTTATTTAGAACAATTAATTTAGGTGAACACAGTGAACAATTAAATAAACAATTTCATTATTTTGAATCAGTCAATATGATATTATATTTTATTTCATTGGAAGATCTATATCGATTTACTTGTATTCAAGGGAATAAAGTAAGTTATTTCGTTGGTTAGTGAAGCTGTTTATTGTCTTATCGAAAAATTATATTACAAAACTAATTGATTTTGAATGAGATAATGATTTCCATTGTTGAAATATCGAATTTGAAACAGTGTTTAATTGTATATACTGTGACGTCGTTACCTTCGTGAATCGGAAATATTCTCAGTAAATTTTCTTGTTTTAGTTAGTTATCAGCGTAGGTTTATCATCATTCAAACTGCGCATTATAATTTAATCAGACTGTCTAGTCAGATAAAAATCTATCCTTTGTATTTTCAAAAAGACGTTTTTTTTGTTATTTAAGACCTTGAGAATTATGTTTAAAAGTAGGTAGTAAGTTGCTCATGAATTTTGTCTACAATAAGTTTTTATAAGAATTGTATTCGATGAAATCATGAATAGGATATGCTCGTCAATCGATATGCTTGAAATTAATACGAGTTCACCTTAGTCGGTAAACTAGAGACGATGATAAATGATCCCGTGACAAGATAGGCTATTCTGATTCCATTGTCCCTGGACCTGCTAACTATAGTAAGAAATCTTGATAAGGCGTAGAAAGTGTATTCAACAAGCACCCAGAAAATATGAGTTTCACAAGCACACAAATGGAGTTTATTTATACATCATAGAAACGTTTTTGGGAGAGCCACAAAAATAGCATACTAAAAATATCCATCAACCAATGACAGTGAGGGATTTCCCGGCCGGGAAATGTAATCTCAAGGTCAAATGAGCAGCCAATGCACGAAAACACAAAAATCCAAAATTAGCGCTTTTCATCAAGTGAGTTCTGGGGAATCTAACGTCCCCAACAGAATGAATCATTATTAAACAACTTTTAGGAAACTGCAGGCACTGGGCAGCTGTTTGTTTTTGCCTGGTCTAGGATTCATCAGCAGTTAGCATCCACAACTACCGCCACACACAGGGTTTAAACTGAAGACCTTCGGTCTTGCTCACAAACGCCTAACCTCTGGGTCAATGATAAATGTCCATGTTACAGCATTCAGAAAATGAAGATATATGTAACGAAATGAAATTGTTTTTGATCAAGCTGACTGTTCATCACAGATATAGACCAACTGGCTGAGAAATTGTACAATTTTACATGGCTATCAATGACCTGTTCTACTGTTTCTGGAGTCTTTTTATGACTTAGGAAGGAATGTGCTCTTTTTGAGCAAACTTTACATTTCTTCACTCTCACATTCATTTTTATTCGATAATTATGATGAAATCTGATTATATTTTCTTTGTAAAAGCTCAAATCCGATTACCAAGCAAAAACTTTGGATATTTACCTAAACAAATTTCAGTTGTTGAGATTTACAAAGTGTTACGCGTACACATACACACGTCAACTTGATATGCTTGAACTATTACGAGTTTATCTAGTCGGAAAACGAGAGCGAGGATAGAGGATCCGGCGACACGACATGCTACTCTAATCCGATTATCCCAAACCCCAAATTGAGTGAAACTAAGAAGACATGATATGAAGTAGAACCTGTATTCGACAAGCATCCAGAAAGTACGAGGTCCGAATCCAGAAGAGAATCAGGGTCCTGGACTAGGGATCCGGGAACGGGTCCTAGTCCTGGTCGTGGTCATAAAACGTTACACCTAATGCGTATTTATACATTTTGGTCGAATAGGAAACAGCATCGAATTCTGTGACATTGACAGTTAAGACGACCAAAAGGTAGCAACATTCGAAGTGACATTGATAGTCAGGACAAGCAATAAGAAACAACATTGGAGCATGTGACATTGATATCTAGGACGACCATAAAATTGACGAGTAGGAATTAACCAATAGGAATAGACCAATAATTCTCTTCGGATATTGGATGAATATCCTAACACAAACAAAGAATTTTTATTTTATTTATAAACTTTCTGAGTAAGAAACTATCAAACCTTGGGTTCTACACAGATATTGATCGAAGTTAAACACTAACACCATTTAATAACGGCTAAGTTATTCAGAAGTTGGGCGTTCTCGTGCAAGACCGAAGGTCCTGGGTTCGAATCATGCGCGATTCAGGTATCGTGGATGCGCACTATTGTAGAGTCCCACACCAGGACGAAACGGCCTTTATGTCAGTGCTTCCAGGTTTCTAATGGTGGTCTGATATTGATTAATTCATGATTCCAATTAGATATTTACTGTCAAATGTTTGAAACTTCTACCATAGACTTACATGAGTTATAATTACTTTTACTTCTCATTTCAACCATTGGGCCAGCATTCAAGTCGTAGATGAACACTAATGGATATCCATCCACTCCAGGGTTTAGAGACTAAGTGTGAACGCACGAGACTGAAGCTCATGAGTTCGATTTTGTTGGGGATGATAGATCCCCAAAACTCGCTTGTTAAATGCCTTATTTTGGATTTCACTTTTGCCAGCATGGACTGATCAGTTGACCTTAAGATTTCATTTCCTACCAGGAAAATCTATGGCTGTGATTGGCTGCTGTGTATTTTAGTCTGCTATTTTCGTAACTGTCCCAAGGACGTTTCTATGATGTATAAATAAACGAGAGTTGTATGCTTGATTGCATTGTGCTTGCTGCGTGTTTGTAGAATATACTTTCTACGCTTACATAGCGTTCTATCTTCTGCTTGGAATTCAAGGTAGCCAATCTGGACGCTGGTAATTGTCTCGTTCGCATTTATCGACTAAGATGAACTCGTAATAGCTTCAAGTATACCTAGTGAAGAACCCTACAGATTCTTCCATAGATATGCACTGCTAATTTTTTTTCTGGTTGGCATTATTTTAGAGAGTTAGTTGTCTACGGTATAGGATTGGCCAACCCTAAGCCAAAAACCAACCTCTTTTACCCAGGTTTGGGATCAGTAGTAGTAGCCATAGAGAGGTTCCAGGCGAAGTCGCGCTGCTGATAAGTCATCTATTAAGATGACACAGCTGTCCAATACTTCCTCAAGTTTCAAATGGTGCTCTAACATCGATCAGTTCATAATGTCAATGAAAATTGAATTTCACAATTGATTTTATGAACCGATTATTTAATATTCATTGATAACATCAATCAATCATTGTTAGACCACTATTAGAAACCTGGAAGCACTGGACGGCAGTTTCGTCCTGGTATGGGACTCATCAATGACAGTGTGCATCCACGACTCCTGCTCCTCACAGGATTCGAGCCCGGGACCTTCGGTATAGTTCGCGAACGCCTTACCATCGGACCACTGAGCCGGTATCCGACGGTGTTAATGTCTAACTCTGATTGATCTAGGGATTTTGCGCGACCTCACCCATTGGTCTTTGGTAGTAGTTACTGCCTACACCCGACAGGGTTGAACTCCACCGGTGGTCACGTCTTCTCACCGTAGAACTCCGAGAATTTCCTCACGAAGCTAGTCACTACTAGTGAGCACTGTTACGATATTTTGGGGCACAGTTTTGGAGGTTTGCGTCAGCAGGTGTCGTGGATGCGCACTGTCACTGATGAGTCGCATACCAGGACGAAACGGCCGTCCAATGCTTCCAGGTTTCTAATGCTGGTCTAACAATGATTGACTGATGATTTCAAATGTATTTAGTTTCTTATTGTATCATAATTGAAAATATATTCTATAAATTGTCGTTTTTTGTAAAATTACCCTTTTAATAATTATTGATTTAATTTTTATTTCAGATTACTGATCATCAAACATTTAAATTATTCGAAGATATCATTCATTCACCAGATTTAACACGTAAAGATATTATTGTATTTTTAAATAAATGTGATTTATTCAAATCACTTATTACTTCTTCACAAACCAATGAAGATACAATCACAACAACAACAACACCAATGATGATTATGAAAAAAGATGATGATGATGAGAATCTTGTTGTTAATAAATCAGGTAAGAACCTTTAAAAAAAAAGGTAGAATGTTATCTTATTTAAATCATGTATTGTTGATTGTCAGGTTGTCATTAGAAAACGTAGATTGAGGCAGGCGAGGAAGATTGTATAGAGCAAATTTACATTCTGAGTCAATTAAAAACGAAAACATTACATTGAACACCACTCTATTTGCACACCATCTTTGAGTCGTCGTGACTTCCAACACTCCATCCTTCTTCTTCTTCTTCAATTCCTGTTGTTGCTTCCTTTCCTTCCTCTGTTGGTACTAATCCATTTACTTCTTGTTTTTGCTCCATTAGCTTACCGTTTTCCTCTTGTGACCGTGCGCTTTCTTCTTTCACGTCCCTTCTTATACTACTTATATCGTTCGTATAAGTAGCACACACCACAGAAGCAATGGACAGCTGTTTCCATTCTGTTATGGGATGTATCAAGACTGCGCATCTATCCATTCGGCGTAGGTTATGCAAGCGGGTGTAAAAATGATCGTGATCATGAGTTCAATATGTTTCAAATAGAATGTTAAAGATTCCCCTTTGTGAAAATTAGAACAACACATATAATAAGCGAACAATATTATTGTTTTCGATTAGATCGTCATCAGGCTGCTTTACTTTAATATACATAAATATTTATGTATGAAAATATTAAACCAATCGAGGCAATTTGAGTATATGTTTGCCGTAAAAAAAAAGAGTAGTCGGTGGCTTCAACCGCCCAAAAGAAGCCTTTATTTATGAAGTTTCAATTCAACGGAGATGTGGCCTGCGATAATCTGCAGGACAGATTAATAAGAGTAATTAATAGAACACTCAACGATGCCAAACTTGCATTGACATTCTCATGTCGACCAGTGATCTCTACTTGGACGAAGGATAAGTTACCTGAGTTGGCCTCCTTCTCTATGTGCATTTACAAATTCAGCTGCTCCTGTGGAGATAGCAGCTATATCGGGTGTACTACTATCAGGCAACTTACCCACCGAATGAGTGAACATCTCCCAGCATGGTTTACGAAGGGTCAGTCAAAAACAATACGCAGTTCTATCTTAGCATATCTGGTTGATAATGGTCACATTGTAGATAAATCTAGATCTTTTCTGGTGATCTATCATATGCCTCCATCATTTCCCAACAGAGTTTGATCCCGTCTCCTACACATTGCAGAAGCCATATGAATACGTATACTCAACCGCAGTTTGTGTTCAGAAGAAATTCGTGACACCCCTATCTCTTACGTGTCCGGATATGGCGTAACTAACGATTGACATTATATTTTTTATTTTTACACATTTGCTTATTACGTAATGGTTTTGATGTTTTTTGACGATTATTTGAAGTCTATTCATCCACCTATGACCTATTATTGATAAAACTTAAGTTATCATATTTTATAAATTTTCCTTGATTGGTTTAACATTTTCATATAAATATTCATGTATATTAGACATAGTAAAGCCTGATGACGATCTAATCGAAAACAATATTGTTCGCTTATATGTGTTGTTCAAATAGAATGGTTTCAGATTATGTCCCACTGTTGATATTTGTTAAGTCTTGGTTAACATGTTACTTATTAATGACACGAGTTTTACATAAAACAGATAGAATGTGGCTAGTAGTTGAATGCAGCTGGATGCATGTTCTGTCTGATATAGGACTCGTATTTGTCTTAATATACCTGCAACTTCTCAGAGTTGATTTTATTCACCCCGGTATTAAATACGTAAATAACATGATGGCATTCGCAAGCAAACATCACTAGATTTTTAGTCCCGAAGTGAATAAGAACTCTGCGATTCACGTACATCCATCTAAAGACAAGTGTTAATTTGAAGAAAACTAACGCCCTGGCTATCACTGTTAGCCATCTTCTACAGAATAAAAGATGAATGAAACAATCAGTTATAACTGAAATAAAACCCGTTGATTAGAATTGCTGTTTCCTATGATTATAAAAAATCATTTTTGTAACATAATTGAATAAAGAAATCGGTCGTTGTCTTTTTCACAAGAGTTATTTACCTTCTGAATAAACCACTGTCATATTCTGCAACTCCTTGGTATTAATGATTCAATGAATTGGCTTATTTGATCATTTGTTTAAATCACTCAGCTTATATTAAACAATAATCTATGAGTTCTTCAAGTGATCAAATTTTTACTCGCAAACTTAGTTTTCATATCTTTGGCGGGATAATATCATAATTCAAATTTTTTACGTAATGATTGAAAATTATGATTGTGCTTATCCTACAAAGATAACAGACTATTTATTCATCAATCGAATTTATAGTTTTGTAAAGATTAATATTCTCAAGTATCAGAATGGAATAACTATTTATCGAGTCACTCTTACTTACTTACTTACGACTGTTATCCCCAATGAAGCATAGGCCGCCCATCAGTTTTCTCCAACCAACTCTGTCCTCAGCTTCCCTTTCCAGTTCTGTCCAATGTTTGTTCATTCCTCTCATATCTTTTTCTGTTTCTCGACGTAATGTGTTCCTTGGCCTTCCGCTTTTCCTTTCGCCTTGAGAGTTCGAAGTGAGGGTTTGACTCGTGACGCAGTTAGGTGCTTTCCGCAATGTGTGTCCTATCCACTTCCACCGCTTCTTCCTGATTTCCTCCTCCACTGGAACCTGGTTTGTTCTCTCTCACAGTAGGTTGTTGCTGATAGTGTCTGGCCAACGAATACGAAGTATTTTGCGTAGACAACTGGTAATAAACACTTGTATATTCTGGATGATGGCTTTGGTATTTCTCCAGGTTTCCGCTCCATACAGAAGAACTGTCTTGACATTTGTATTGAAAATGCTGATTTTGGTTTTGGTTGAAAGTTGTTTGGAGTTCCAGATATTTTTCAACTGTAGGAATGCAGCCCTTGCTTTGCCAATACTTGCCCTCACATCTGCGTCGGATCCACCCTTCAAGTCGATGATGCTGCCCAGATATGTAAAGGTTTTGACGTCCTCCAAGGCATCTCCATCAAGAGTGATTTGGTTGGTGCATGTTGTGTTGCATCGGAAAATTTTGCTTTTTCTTTTATGTATGTTGAGACCTACTGCAGCAGAGGCTGCTACTACAGTGGTCGTCTTCTCTCGTATTTGTTGTTGCATGTGCGATAGAAGAGCGAGGTCATCTGCGAAGTCCAGATCGTCCAGCTGCATTCTAGCTGTCCAGTTGATACCGTTCTTCCCTCCAGATGTTGACGTCTTCATAATCCATTCGATTACCGAGAGAAAGAGAAAGGGTGAGAGTAAGCATCCTTGCCTCACACCGGTCTCCACCTCGAAAGGGTCTGACAGCTGACCTCCGTGCACGATTTTGCAGTTGAATTCATCATAAGAATTCCGTATGATGCTATCGAGTCACTCAGTCAACTGCATTTACAAGTTAGTATCATTTTTTAGGGAGAGGCAAATGGATTCTATACATTCCAGTATTAATTATTACGTCAGCTGCAGACCGGTGAATTATTCTTCTGGCTGGATTTCTAATTTGATGGTGTCGCTAACCCCATACTCAACCTTTCTACTTTATACACACTTAAGATCGACAGTAACATTGGAAGGACTCTAGTCGGAGTTTGATGATAATTAGCTTCAAGCAACAAGCATTTCTTATCTCATCCTGTTTTGATTTTTTTTCAAAATAATTTTTATTGTTTGTCTATAGTGTTAGTTTAGTGTAAATAAATAATTTATGAATAAGCAAGCAACTAAATGACAAAAACAAAAAATCAGTTTTGAGAAATAAACGAAGTAAAATAAAATCTCATTTGATGTCCCCAGAGGGTAATAATTGATTTCATGGTGTTTATTACTTACTATCATTCTCCAGATATATGGTGTATATATATGTGTAGTTGGTTGAGTATGAATGTCCTTCTATCCAGTTATTTATGTTCACATTTATATGTTCTTCACAGAAAATGGTCACAAACAGATAAATGAGTAGTTTTAATAATTAACACTGATTTGGAAATATTACATATTCAGTTATTTATTACTACCATTACTAATACTACTACTGACACTACTACTCATACTACTAGTACTACTACTACTGCTACTGCTACTACTACTACTACTACTACTACTACTACTACTACTACTACTACTACTACTACTACTACTACTACTACTACTACTACTACTACTGTGGTGTGTGCTACTTATACGAACGATATAAGTAGTATAAGAAGGGACGTGAAAGAAGAAGAAAGCGCACGGTCAGAAGAGGAAAACGGAAAACAAATGGAGCAAAAACAAGAAGTAAATGGAGTAGTACCAATAGGAAGTAAAGGAAGCAACAACAGGAATGGAAGAAGGCTGGAGCGTTGGAAGTCACGACCCAAAGATGGTGTGCAAATAGAGTGTTTAATGTAATGTTTTCGCTTTTTTTGGACAATTCCTCTTCCAATGTCCGGATCTTCCGCAAATATAGCATTAATTATTTCTTCCACCCTTTATTCGTAACGCTGCCACCTCGCGTTGTAATTCTTCTGTCTTCTTCGCGACATCATCAGCCAGTCTTTCACACGCCACCGAGGCGACTGTTGAGTTCATCAGTTGTCTTGTTACTTTCGCCAGCTCGGCGACGTCCATTGGTTGTGCCGCGTTCACCAGTCTCAACTGTTGGCCAACCTCTGCAGGCACACTTTCAATGAATTGCGACGCTAGCAGCTCTGCTTGCGACTCCTCATCCGAATTCGGCAGACCTCTGCTCAGCAATCTTGTCAACTCCACAGCCAGCACGAGTGGGTTGCCATCCACCGTAGGTCTCGCCTCTCGGAACTTCCGCAGCGCGTCCTGCCTATCCGCCGGGCTGTCGAACTCCACCAGCAGCCTTTCCGTCACCAGCTCCCAGTCAGCGTCCTCCACACCATCGTAAACCGCTATCGCCCTGCCTCTTAGCAGTGTCCCCAACACCACCGCCTTCGCCCTCTGCTCCTTGACTCCTACCAGCTCCGCCACGGCCTCGAACTCCTTGAAGAAGCTCCTCACATCTCCGTCTTCAAACTCCCGAGGTCATGGGATCTTCATCCTGTGTAGAGGCAGCGACACCAATTGAGAAGACTGAGGCAAGCGCGAAAGATTATATTATGCATATTTACACTCTTAGTCAATTACAAACGAAAACATTACATTGAACACTATTTGTACACCATCTTTGAGTCCTGACTTCCAACGCTCCATCCTCCTTCCATTCCTGCTGCTGCTTCCTTTATTTCCTTTTGGTACTCCATTTGCTTTCCGTTTTCCTCTTCTGACCGTGAGACTTCTTCTTACACATCCCTTCTTATACTACTGATATCGTTCGTATAAGTAGCACACACCACACTACTACTACTGTGGTGTGAGCTACTTATAAGTAGTATATGACGTCAGTGTAAACGTAATGTCTGGCAGCAGAAGATGGGGGAACATCAAGAAAGGAAGATTGGGAACACAATGGAATTTGTATGAAACGCATGAGTAGTAGTGACAATGGATTGATGTTTTGCAACAGGAACAGTCCAGTTCGATATGATGAACTGATATTTTGCAAATTAACGATTTACGATATGGTTTTCCGATTTTACTGAGTAACTCTATAATTTTCGTTAAACACAATTCGGTTGCCCCACCTGTGTTCTCGTTCACTACACTACTACTACTACTCCGATTACTACTATTCACAATACTACTCCTGCCCAGACGTGTACTAAAAGTGGACGGTTTATACATCATTTTACTACGTAACATTGTAAATAAAATATTCACATAAAAATGATTTATTACGCTTGTTTGTTTAATCATTTAACCAAAAAACTTTTTCGTTTAGACATATTTGAGATGTGACCAGTATTATTGTTGTGTTACTATCATGATAATAATATTCAGATATTCAGCAATATTATTCGATTATTCTTTGTTATGAATTGAGAACAGTTATAAAACATGTAAAAAATGAACAAGGGTTAGTTAAGTTCTAGTTTATGTGACTCCTCAATTAGATCATGAACTGTTTAAAAGTAGAAATGTGAAATGTTGAATTTGAATTCAATGCCCTAAAAGTAGTGTATTTTCTATTAGACTCAACACTTAGAAGTCATAAATTAGGATAAAACTGTTAGGATATTCATCCAATATCCGAAGGGAATTATTGGTCTATTCCTATTGGTTAATTCGTACTGGTCAATTTTATGGTCGTCCTAGTAGATATCAATGTCACGTGCTCCAATGTTGTTTCTTATTGGTTTTCCTGACTATCAATGTCACTTCAAATGTTCTTTCTTATTGGTCGTCTTAACTGTCAATGTCACAGACTTCGATGCTGTTTCCTATTCGACCGAAATGTATAAATACGCATTATCTGTAACGTTTTATGACCAGGACCAGGGCTCCGTCCCGGATCCCTAGTTCGGGATCCTAATTCTCTTCTAGACTCGAACCTCGTACTTTTTGGATGCTTGTAGAATACAGGTTCTACTTCATATCATGTCTTCTTATTTTAACTAAATATGGGGTTTGGGATAATCGGATTTGAGTAGGATGTCGTGTCACCGGATCCTCGATCCTCGCTCTCGTTTTCCGACTAGGTAAACTCGTAATAGTTCAAGTATATCAAGTTGACGTGTTTACGTGAAGGTGTAACAGAAACAATTATACAATGCATTTTGAACTTGAAAATCTCTCTAGTTTCTATCAGTCCAATGAAGAAATATTTGATCCATTTGAGCGATTTCCAACAATATATGTCTTCTACACCTTCAAACCTTTCTCCTAATTTCTTCCTCAGTTGGAATCAGGTTGTTGCTCATTCTGTCTGACCAACGGATTCGCAATATCTTGTGTAGAATACGTTTAATAAACATCTGTATCTTATGTATGATGGCTTTCGTAGTTCTGAACGTTTCATCTCCATGCAGCAAACAGATTTGTCTTGACCTGTGTACTGAAAATTCTTCTGACTTCAGTGATGATTGTCAATAGTTTCGAGTTCCAAATTCTTTTCACTTGTCGAAATCCTACCTTTGCTTTACTAAACCATATCGATTACTACCATAAGAACAGTTAAATCTACACAATCTTTGGAGACCAGCTCCATTTATAACTTAAGCATACAGTCTACTAAAGTGTTTTTTTTTGTTAAAGACAAATTCGTTCAATGGTTTGCTGGTTCTCATCATTTTTTCCATTCCAGTACAATTAATTTGCTTTACTTATAACAACGGTAATTAAAATAATATATATTTATTAATAATGTCACTGTTTTTATCACACTTCAGATTGGTCTCTATTCATTCAACTGATCAAATCATCCCTAACGCAATCATGTAATCAAGCAAATAATAATAATAATAATAATATCAAATCTTCACGATTATTTTTTCATGTGACATGTGCATTGGATATTGATGAAATGAAATGGATTTTGAAAGATTCTATACGAACTATTTTTGAAATGAATCGTAAACGTCATTTGATTTTTTAAATGAAACAAAAAAAGAAAGAATAATCACTTTGTTTAATTTTGCCTTAAATTTGTTTGTTTGTTTGAATTCACCGTCTCATTGAACATTGAACATTGATCAATGATGTGAATTAATTTGAACTATATGCGCGCAAGTCAATATGGCGGACACGTGGCGGGTAGATTGAATAACTCAATCAGTCAATGTATAAATATTATTATATTAATTGAATTGAATTCTGTATTTTTTATGATAAGAGATTAGAATAATTTTTCGTATCATATTGAACACAGTAAATATACATATTCTACTGATAATATGAAGAGAATAATTTTTATGATTTGAATTACTTTATGTTCAGGATTCAGTTGAAAATTTTAAAACGTAAAAATGTGAAATTGAACTAAACACACATATAATGAATTATTATTTTTTTTGAGAAATATACAATTATTTTGCAAGTAGAATAATAATAATAAGACTTTTGTTTTCTAGTGTTCTTCACTAGGTACGCTTGAAGCTATTATTACGAGTTCACCAGCGTCCAGATACGCTACCTTGAATCCCAAGCTAAAGATAGAAGGCTTTGTAAGCGTAGAAAGTATATTCTACAACAAACACTCAGCAATCACACAATACAATCAAGCACACAACTCTCTTTTATTTATACAACATCATAGAAACGTCCTGGTGACAGTTACGAAAATAGCACACTGAAATACACAGCACCCAATCACAGCCATGGATTTTCTTGGTGGAAAATGAAATCTCAAGGTCAACTGATCAGCCCATGCTGGCAAACGTGAAATCCAAAATAAGGCATTTATCAAACGAGTTTCGGGGATCTGACATCACCAACACTCCTCCTCTTTTTAATAGCGTGTGCTCCTGGGATAGACTTACATCTTGACTGTCGTTCGCCGCTGTCTGAGAGGATACCTTCGGGAACGAAGAACAGCTTGCTGCTGAGTTTCTTCTCGTGGCGGGGCTGCTGGTAGGTTGAAGGTATAAAGGGGAAGGCTTTCTACTCTTGATAGGTGATCTGGGGCTAGCCATCTGCGTATATGATTTCGATGACGTGACCATTTATCACCTCCTACCTCTACTTCGTACATAACTCGACCAACTGTTTTGACCACTCTCGCTTCTGCCCATGGATCATGGTACGTTCTGTAGTTGCGGGCAAACATAGGGCATCCTACTTCGTAAACGGATTGTCTTTGTGGCTTTGTCTCTACTGATGTGGGTGCATTGAAAGTGTATTCTACAAACACCCAGCAATCACACAATACAGTGAAGCATACAACTCTCATTTATTTATACATCATAGAAATGTCCTTGGGACAGTTACGAAAATAGTACACTAAAATACACATTTTATCGAGGAAATTAACATAATCCGATTTAAGTTTCTCTATATACTACTTGACATAAGTTGTACTCTCTGAAGACAATGGATAAAGTTACGCAAGACTACATGGATTGATCGAAGTTAAACATTAACACTGTTAGATATCTGCTCTCAGCAGTCACGTACTAATTCTGTGAGTTGTACGAGTCGTGGATGCATACTACTGATGAGTCCCATACCAGGAAGAAACAACCGACCAGTCTTTCGAGCTTTCTAATGTTGGTCTATCATTGATCGTAACTTGATTTCAAAAAGTAATTCAACAATCTTAGCAGCCCTCTAACTCAAGTCTTGTATTATCTGTTTCTGTAAGCATCATAAATACTTAGGTATTCGTTTTAATGGTACTCATTTTAGCATGATTCGTTATAGAATTGTTAAATGTGTGTATATAAAGGCGATGTTGTGATCTTGTAGTTGCAAAGTTTAGTTATCATGCTTTTTATGTAAGCTTCAAACAGAACAATATCAGTAATTAGTTCTAAGAAAATATAGTCTATTTTACTTTGAGGTTGTTGATCAGTGTTCTTATTGTCTGATATATATGTAATTGATTTATATCTGATCAACTGATCGATGCTTACTTAGTATGCTTTGGGATTCTAAGAATTATCTTTTTTTGGGGGGGGGGCAGAGTTTTGGAGGTTTGTGTTTTTACACATTTGAAATCATCAATCAATCATTGTTAGACCACCATTATAAACCTGGAAGCACTGAATGACGGCCGTTTTGTCCTGGTGTATGGGACTCATCAGCAGTGCGAATCCACGACCAATGGCGTTCAACCCTGTTGGATGTAGGCAGTAACTACCAAAGATAAATGGGTGAGGTGGCGCGAAATCCCTAGATCAATCAAAGTTAGAAAATAACACCGTTAGATTGGACCGGCTCAGTGGTCCGATGGTTAGGCGTTCGCGCACAATACCGAAGGTCCCAGGTTCGAATCCTGTGAGGTGCAGGAGTCGTGGATGCGCACTGCTGATTAGTCCCATACCATGAAGAGACGGACGTCCAGTGCTTCCAGGTTTCTAACGGTGGTCTACCAATTACTGACTGATGATTTCAAATTCTAAGAATCGTTTGATTGATTGCCTTCATATTTCCTCTCTTGAAAGTACATGTCATATTGTTGAGCGGCATTCACGTAAATGTAAACAAAGTTGTTAGTTTTATGCTTGCCACCAGTTGATATGCTTGAACTGTTACAAGTTCCCCTTGGTCGGTAAGCAAGAGTGAAGACTACTGATCCAGTGACATGGTAGGCTACTCTAATCTGAGCGTCCCAAGGCCCCAACTAAGTAGATGAAGAAGTCTTGATGTGACGTAGAAAGTGTATTCAACAAGCACCCAGAAAATATGAGATTCACAAGCACACAAATCGAGTTTATTTATACATCATAGAAAAATCCTTGGGAAAGCCACAAAATAGCGTACTAAAACAATGCATCAACCAATAACAGTCAAGAATTTTCTGGGTGGGGAATGTAATCGCAAGGTCAACTGATCAGGTGATTCACGAAATCACAAAATCCAAATTTAGGACCTTAATCCAGTGATTTATGGGGATCTAATGTCGCCAAAAGTTAGTTACTTTGTTCTGCTACAGTTTATCTTGTCTACGTCGCGTCCGTTTGATTAACATAAAATTGTTTGTATATATTTTGTCAGCTTATTACTTACTTAATCACATACTTACTTACCTACCTACCTACTTACTTATTGACATCTGCTACTCCTAATCGAGTGTAGGCTGTCGCAAATAATTCTCCGACCAATTTTGTCTTAGGACGTCCCTTCCAGTTCTAGTCAAATGCTATTCATTCTTTTCATGTATGTAGCTGATTAACGACTCAGTGTGTTCCTGATGAACCCCTTCTCTTTTGACCTTGAGGGTTCTAAACTAGGTCTTGGATGCAGTTGAGTGCATTCCTCAAAGTGTATCCTGTCCACTCTTAACGCCGTCTTTGTATTTTCTTTCTCAAAGGAATTCCAGTTTATATTCTCTTTCCGTCAGTAGGTTGTTGCTGATAGTGTCTGTTCAACAGATGTGCAGTATCTTGCATAGACAACTGTAAATAAACACTTGTATCTATTATGGCTGTGGTGAAGTTTCGTTCTCTGAGGTGGATGTTTTTGTTGTGGAGCTTTCATTGTTCTTTTTTGGGAACAACATCATCAGCACAAACTTCAGATAGCGGAAGTGAAGCATTCGAATTTCCCCACGTTTGACCAGTAGCTTGTTCTCTCAGCAGAAGTGAAATCAAGTAAAGGAACCAATAAACGGATCATTCTACCATACATAAAAGACATATTGGAACATATAGCATGACTACTGAAACCATTTGGAATAGGTGTGGCACATAAACCGACAGAATCACTTCAATCAATCCTATATCGTAGACCAAAGGACAAAATGCCAAAGGAAGAAAAGCCGAATACCATCTACAAAATAAATTGCTCAGACTGTAAAAAACACTACATAGGACAAAGTGGACGACCTCTTCAGCTTCGTTTACGTGAACAACAATTAGCAGTCAAACGCCACGACAACGCTTCGCTTATATCAATACACACCGACAATTATGGACATACATTCGATTGGAACAATGTGGAAATACTGGGTAGGGATAGGACGAAGAACACTAGAGAATTTTTAGAAGCTTGGCATTCAGGTCAATCAACAATCAACGAACACATCGATATTGACCTAGTTTATCAACCAATCAGGAAAATCAAAGGTGACATAGGATCCAAAACGAGATCAAAAAAGAAGGATATAAGCACAACAAAGGTTCAAACAATGACAGATTTAAAGTCAACAACAACCAATCAAGATCGAGGTTAATAGAACTAGCTACAGATCAAACGTGGAGAAATTCGAATGATTACTTCTCCTATCTGTAGTTTGTGCTGATGATATGGCTCAGCATAAGAACAACGAAAGCTTCACAACCAAAAAATATCCAGTTCAGAAAACGAAGCACCACTACAATCATCCACCTGATCTACAAATTTTCTCTACCGTCTCACTTTGGATAATATCTTTTGTGGTTAGTTCTACAAGTCTTCGCTTCATACCATAGAATTGTCTAGAAGTTTGTATTTCTGACTTGTGTGTCTATACTTATACTTAGGTATCCTTAATCTCAAAGATATTTCTTTATGTAGGATATAACTATACGTCAATTACATTTCACTGTTAGTATTTATATTTGATTTTCAGCATCATAAGTATTCCGAAACCATTACTTACTTACTTACGTACGCCTGTTAACCCCCCCCCCCCAATGGAGCATAGCCCGCCCACCAGTTTTCTCCAACTAACTCCGTCTTGGGCTTCACTCTCCAGTTCTGTCCAATGTTTGTTCATTCCTGTCATATCTTTCTCTATTTCTCTGCGTAATGTGTTCCTTGGACTTCCTCTTTTCATTTTGCCTTGAGGGTTCCATGTGAGGGCTTGTCTCGTGACACAGTTAGGTGTTTTTCGTAGTGTGTGTCCTATGCACCAACACCACCACTTCTTCCTCATTTCCTCCTCCACTGGAATCTGATTTGTTCTCTCCCACAGTACGTTGTTGCTGATGGTGTCTGACCAACGAATACGAAGTATTTTGCGTAGATAACTAGTAATAAACACTTGTATCTTCTGGATGATGCCTTTCGTAGTTCTCCAAGTTTCCGCTGCATACAGTTTAACTAACTGTCTTGACATTTGTATTGAAAATCGTGATTTTGATTTTGGATGAAAGTTGTTTGGAGTTCCAGATATTTTTCAACTGTAGAAATGCAGCCCTCACTTTGCCAATCCGCGCCCTCACATCTGCACCGGATCCACCTTGATTATCGATGATGCTGCCAAGATATGTAAAGGTGTTTACGTCCTCCAAGGCATCTCCATCAAGAGTGATTTGTTTGGTGCATGTTGTGTTGCATCGGAGAATTTCGCTTTTTCCTTTATGTATGTTGAGACCTACTGCTGCAGAGACTGCTGCTACATTGGTCGTCTTCTCTTGCATTTGTTGTTGCATGTGCGATTGAAGAGCCAGACCATCTACGAAGTCCAGATCGTCCAGCTGCGTCCTAACTGTCCAGTTGATACTGTGCTTCACTCCAGATGTCGACGTCTTCATAATTCAGTCGATGACCAAGAGAAAGAGAAAAGGTAAGAGTAAGCAACCTTGCCTGACACCAGTCTTCATCCCGAACGAGTTTGTCAGCTGACCTCCGTGCACGATTTTGCAGTTGAATCCATCATAAGAATTCCGTATGATGTTAACTATCTTCTCAGGCACACCGTAGTGTCGAAGAAGAGTCCACAGTGTTTTCCTGTCCACGCTATCGAATGCTTTCTCGTTAGTCAATGAAGTTGATGTAGAGTGGTGAGTTCCATTCAATTGATTGTTCCACAATGATCCGTAATGTAGCAATTTGGTCAGTACACGATCGATCCTTACGAAATCCAGCCTGTTGATCTCGAAGTTGGGCGTCTACGAAGTCCTTCATTCTGTTTAACAATACTCTGTTGAAGACTTTGCCTGGTATTGAAAGAAGAGTGATGCCTCTGTAGTTTTGACACTTGCTGAGATCGCCTTTCTTTATTCCAAAACTATACTGTCATTTATTCATGTAACAAACAATACTGTCGAAATACTAGGCAGAAAAATGATCAAAAACATTTCCGTGAATTCTTAGAATCACAAACAATTTTTCCCGTTAGTGCACTGTTTCTACAAACAAAACGAAATCAATGGCTTTCTATACTGACATCACCTGTATTTTTGTTGGACAGATAAATTTCAAATGTGTGTAAAAACGCAAACCTCCAAAAACTGCCCCAAAATATCGTAACAGTGCTCACTAGTGACTAGTAGCTTGCTTCATGAGGAAATTCTCGGAGTTCTAAGGTGAGAAGACGTGACCAATGGAGTTCAACCCTGTCGAGTGTAGGTTTGCAGTAACTACTACCAAAGACAAGTGGGTGAGGTCGCGCAAAATCCCTAGATCAATCAGAGTTAGACATTAACACTGTTGGATGCCGGCCCAGTGGTCCGATGGTTAGGGCGTTCGCGCACAATACCGAGGGTCCCGGGTTCGAATCCTACGAGGTGGTGCAGGAGTCGTGGATGCGCAGCACTGCTGATGAGTCCCATACCAGGAAGAGACGGCCGTCCATTGCTTCCAGGTTCGTACTAATGGTGTTCTAACAATGATTGCTTGGTGATTTCAAATGTGTAAATTACTGGTGGTTAATCTAGAGAACCATCTTTATAAACTTAGTGTAAAACAAAATTGAATATTGAACACATCTCTTTTTATTTTATTTGTTTATTTTCAGTTGGCACATTTTTTTTGAAAACACAACGCACATATGAATGAATGAATGTATAAGATAATGCTTTGCAGTTAGGTTCATCAACAATATACACCATCTTGATTCAGGATTTTTTTAAATTCTTCATCCTATTTAACCAAGAAATTCATTTGCAGGCAACATCGATTGTCGATAAAGATCATAATAATAGTTGGCTGATTTTTGAGGACGTTTAACTGAAAGATTAAAAAATTAATTGATTATTCAAAAAATAAATGAATATTTATAGACTGAACTGGTTAATATAGTTCAAATGTAGGATCTTTATACTGAAAGAACTGAATGTTAAAATGTGTGTGAATAAGGGTAAGAATGACAGCCATGATCAGTTGGAGTTCAGCCACGTCGGGTGAAGCAGTTACCTAACGAAGACAATGGATGCGGTTGCACAATAACTCAGATTGACTAAAGTTGGATGTCGGTTAAGTGGTCTAGGGTGTCAAGTGTTCGCAAGCAAGACCGAAGTCCGTTGGTTCGATTGTGGATGCAACGGCCGTTCAATACTTCAAGGTTTCTAATGATGATGGTCTAACATTGAGCAATGCATGATTTCAGTGAAAAAAGTATATGTCGACGAAAGTATATTATAGTTTTATCCAATTAGTTTGATGAATTGATAGATGAACGTATCATTCTCATAGGGAATAACCAATCCATTAATTTTCTAATCTAATTTTACATCTAGAGAACTGTCAAGATTTATCCAAATATAACACTTGTAAATAAGGCATTAGTACCTGTGGATATTTGTTCGGTGGTCAAGAGGTTAAGCGTTCACACACGGACCATGGGTGATCGATTTGATTCTCGCTTCCGGCGCCGTAGGTGCACCTTACTGATGAGTCTGATCCTAGGGGGAAACGACCATCCAGTGCATTTGGATTCTAATGGTGATCTAGCAATGTTTCATCCATGATTTCATTGAAACTCAACAGTTTCAACAATCCTAGAATGTAACTTCATCTCGTTTAGAGTATATGATGAACTAATTGAAAAGCATTTAGTTAACTGAATTCGTATATCAGAAAATAAGTAATTGTTAACTTTCAAGTAATTAAAATTGTGCTTGTCGAGAAATTCATTTTACGTTGAATGGTGGTGCATCAACGAATTTTATTGAAATAGTCATACTACTTGAGATCTGTAAGTAGTTAAACGGAATAACAGTACAAAATAATGCGAAAACTGTTTGGTTAATTTGAAAGCATAATTACGGATCACTAGTATGTAAATGCACGATAATTGATAAAATGATGCCTACTAAGCCGGTTAAGTGTTCTGCTAAATACAGAAATGAACATTTTTTTGTTTTGAGATTATTTCTAAGATTTTATACTAGAATTATAAATGATGGTGACTAAAAGTGAAAATCAGCGGATTTGAATAAAGTTTATTGTATTCTGTTATTTAGTAGTCAGAGAATTTCATCTGAGAATTTTCAGAATTGATTCTCGCAAGATTGTGGTTCATTTAGATAGTTAAATCAGAATGCGTTCAGTGTTTCCTGAAATATTATGTAAACATTACCACTGTAGTGAATGAGTGAATTGTTTTATCTTCTTTGTTCGATATTTTGGGGCACAGTTTTGGAGGTTTGCGTTTTCACACATTTGAAATCATCAATCAGTCACTGTTAGACCACCATTAGAAACCTGGAAGCACTGAAAGACGGCCGTTTCGTCATAGTATGGGATGCGCACTGCTGAAGAGGAATCTTCTCCGAGTTCTAGTGGGAAGATGTGACCTGTGAAGTTCAGCCTGTTCGGGTGTAGACAGTAACTACCGAAGACTGTGTATGAGTTAGCGCAACTCCATGAATTGATCAAGTTAGACATTAACACCGCTAAGTACCGGCTCAGTGGTCCGATGGTTGGGCGTTCGCCTACAATACCGAAGTTCGTGGGTCCGAATCCTGCGGGTGCAGGAGTCGTGGATGCTCACCGCTGAGGAGTCCCATACTAGGACGAAAAGGCCGTTCAGTGCTCCGAGGTTTCCAATGGTGGTCTAACATTGATCTCGATTCATGGTTTCAAAAAAGAAGATTTTCAAATAACCAAGGCCTCCATAAACCTCAAAATTCGTCCTTCAACATTTCTATATAATGTTTTGTAGGCTGTCTTGATGTCCATTTATGTCCTGTCTCAGTCATGTGTTTTGCGAACGATGAACATGGTTTTCTATTTCCAACGCTTATCGGCTCATCTGACGTTAACTGATTTTGAAGCCACATAGGTACATGTTCCATAACCCTTGATTGTAAAGTCCGATTACTCCTCCGCATGTATGGTATGTGTCCACACAAACGTGTAAATTGATAAATGCAATGGGCTAAGATGTAATAATTCGAGCAACGTTTAGGTCTATGTGAATGATTACGTTATGTTTATTTGAACTTTAATTTAATTAACCCTCTATTCATCTTCATCTAAAATGCCTTGACAAGAATATATGTGTGACAAGATTGTTCAAAATGTATAGCGCGCAAATACATCACAATATATTTCAGATCAATTACGTCTTCTCACTGTTATATCTTTATTCAAATCGTTTAATGAATTGACTAATTAATTCCACTCACTGTCTTCAGAAATAAACAATGAATTTATTTTTGAATCTAAGAATACTGTATAAATTTATTTTAGATTTAGAGAACTGAAAATTTTCAATGATATAGAACACTTGTGAATTGGAAATTAATGCTTTTTAACACCCGGCAAGAACTGTAGCTTTCACTCACAGTTTCTGTGATTGGGGATAGTGGATGCACAACACTGCCGCTTAGTCTCATACTAGGGAGAAATGTTCATTTAAACCATCTTGGTTTCTAATGATCGTCTAACATAATTTTGATAAAACACGATAATCTCAATAATCTTATAATGTTAATTTGTCTTGTTGAGAACTTATTATGTAGTAATTGAGAATTATTTAGTTGACTGAATTAGTGTACCCAAAAATAGGTGATTACTTATTTTTAAGTGATTGAAAATGTTCTTGTAGAATGAGTCATTTGACGTTTGCTGGTGCTCTGTAAAACCTTGTGTACTAATTTTGTTTAAAAATTTATACTACTTGAGATTTGTAAGTAGTTAAACAGAATTACAGTAAAAATGTTGAGTAATTACGGATCACTAGCATGTAAAAATTCACGATAATTGATAAAGTGGAACCTGCTAAGCTGGTTAAGTGTTCTGCTGAATATACAGATGAAAATTTTTTTGTTTTCAGATTATTTCTAAGATTTTATACTAGAATTATAAATGATGGTGTCTAAAAGTAAATATCAACGGATTTGAATAAAGTTTATTGCAGTCTGTTATTTAGTAGTTAGAGAATTTTATCTGAAAATCTTTCATGCTTGATTCTCGTAAGATTTCGGTTCACTTAGATAATTAAATTATAATGCGATCAGAATCTCCTATTTTCAATGACATGCACGTTGAACGAATTTTTTTACCGCTTTGGTTCGACCAAAAATACACTTTTCTAAAGCTCATCATTTAAAATTTGCATTATTATTATTTCAGGTGAGGTTAAAATATCGCTTGTTTAAAGTGGTCCTTTAAATCCGTCCTGAATAGTGCATATTTTCATCTACACCATGTCACTAGGATCAATACACTCATTTTCACTCACCACGATTCATGAAATGTGAACAATTTGTAAAAATAAAATTTTAACTACTTACAAATCATTTTAGTAGTTAGAACACTTTTCAAAAATTACCTGACATTAGTATTCTATCCTTCTTTTTTAGTCTTGTAGGTTCATGAATACGTTTATACCATAAAAGTCCTCTAGGTAATTCCATCATGTAGTATAAATTATTTGAATCTATAAGTGGTTCATCTAGTTTTTCAGAGAAAAAAATATTTAAATGAGAAGAAATATATAATTTTCAAAATTTAGGCAAATTTTTCTGTTTTAGTTTAGTACTTTTCGAATTCGTTCTGTTCAAATATTCAAATGTTATTTCCTTGAATTCAAAGACATTTTCGACTTTAATTAGAAGCGTAAAATTTGAAAAAACATCTCCTAACGTGGTTTAGAAAGATCCAAGTAGAAACAGTACACAGTTCTTTCTATCGTGGTGCATCTGTTTGATAGTAGTCATTATATTAGAAGGACTGAGTCATTTCGATTCATCTATCCGATACCGCCATCTTTTCCAGCCAGAGTTTGATCTCATCTCCTATGAATAACAGACGCCATGGATATATGAACCCTGTCGAGTGTGAAGCAGTGATCTGACCAAATACAATACACCAGTATTCCTACTATCAACTTGTATTTTAACCAAATACGTGTGGTCATCCTTATGGATGACTCATAAATGGCCTTGACTGGTTTACCATTTTGATAGCAGTCATTCATGTATATCAAAGTAAAGCCTGATAAAATTCATTAAGCACTCAGTCGAGCTTATTTTATAGGGATCAGCTACATCCTTTGATACACATAGATGAGGCATACCCAGATAACTGATGCTTGAATGGTGAAACCACTGTAGATATTCTTGAACGCTGCAGACAGTGGTTAGGTTCATTGAATATCTACCTCGATGCTACACTTAATCCCTCTGTTAGAACATCACTAGTTATCTCTGTGATTCCTTATCAACTGACAAAGCTGTAACATTCCTGTTTATGATATGCAAGTATTTTCTTTAGATAACCTTTTCAAATGAACACATAATGTGTGTGACTAAACTCTAGTTCCTTTTTATTCACGATCACCTATGATCACATTTTCTAAAATCATCAACTCGTTCATTATGAAAAGAATGACTTATTTATAATACAAACTTATCATCATGATACAACGTAACTCACCATATTTATGTGTCGTCATCCAATGACCATTGATCAGTACAACAGAAATTATAATCATTACAAAGGATGATAGATAGATGTGTATGCAACTCATATTGATGAAGTCGCTGTGATTCTAATAAGTAAAAAAGAACGCCGATTTTATTCACAGAAAGAGAACACATTCTTACACAAAATAAACAAATTGTCATTATGTGGTTGTAGAGATAATTGAGTTGCATTGAAGTTCAACTGTGTCGCTGGTGAGATAGTGTTAGGTTCGTCATTAAGTATGCTTGAAACTATTACCGGTTCACCTTAGTCGATAAAAGTAAACGGGACAATGAACCAGCGTCCAGGTAGGCTACCTCGATCCGCTGACTCAAAAATCGCTCGAGAGCAGTCTTGATACAGCGTAGAAAGTATATTCTACAAACACTCAGCAAGCACAATGAATTTAAGCACACTAACCTTGTTTATTTGTACATCATAGAAACGTCCTTGGAACAGTCACGAAAATAGCACACTAAAATTACACGGTAACCAATCACAGCCAAGGATTTTCCTGGTGGGAAATGTTATTTCAAGGTCACCTGATCAGTCCATGGTCGCTAATGAAATCCAAAATTGAGGCATTTATCAAGCGAGTTCTGGGAATCTAACATCCCCAACACTCCTTGCCTTTTTAATAGCATGCGCTCCCGGGGGTCGATCTGCATCTTGACTGTCGTTCGCCGCTGTCTGAGGAGATACCTTCTGGAGTGGAGAACATGTTGCTGCTGAGTTTTTTCCGGTGGCCAAGCTGCTGGTAGGTTGAAGGTATCATGGTGGATGTCAAGGGGGAGACAATGAATGATGATTGCGCGTTATCATAGATTGAATGCAGTTAGATATTAAAACTTCTGGATGCTGGTTCAGTGATTAAGAGTTTAGGCGGTCACACACACGACTGAAGGTCACGGGTTCGATTCCCGCTAACGTAGTCACAGATGCATACTGTTTGATAAGCCACACTATACTAGGACAAAATGGCCATCTAGTTTTCCCAGTATTCCAACTAATGATGTAACACTGATCAATCCGTAGCACAAATATCGATCGTCCTATTAGTTAGTTAGTTACTTAGTTAGTTAGTTAGTTCATTAACAAATGATTACTTGTTTAAAATATAATAGACATTGTCATAAGAGAATTTTAATTTGAAATTCTTAGTTACAGACAGAAAAAAAGTCAGGGTAAACAAAATCCCTTTTTTATTCATTCAACATAACTCTAACAATACTAACAAAATTAGAAAAAGACAGAAGAATTCTTCATCTTCAATCGGTTCTGCCGATATTATTATTATTATTATTTATTAATTCAGAGAATATTTTCTAAACCATTTCACTGATGATGATTTAACCAACCACAACTTATACTACTTATTAGTAGATATATAAGAAAACTAGAAAAAAATTTGTCGTTTTCTAAAATAATCATAAATAATGAATTATTTATGTCATAGAGTTCAATTTATTTTATTGTAAAAATCATATTTTATGAAACTTTACAATTCAATTTAATGGTTACGTTATATATATATATTTAGAAATTTCTAATCACTGTAGGTTGATGTGTTTGGTAAAAAGAAACCTCAGCTTGGTATGTTACCCATGATGTGTCGATTGTGAAATTGAACACATTGAAACATATTCATTCATAGTCAACTTGTGCGCTGTTTTATTATTGTCTTTAGATTTGAATTTTTACGATGAAATATACAATCATCCCACATATAATTCGCCGATAAAAATCATGTCTATATCTACAATGTTGTGTCAAAATTGTGTTCTCATTGAAATCTCTCCTTCTTAGTATGCTTAATATTTGACTATGTGGTACAAAGAAGAAACTGAATATTTACACAGAGCATAATTACGTGTGGGATGCTGTACTGTTCATGTGTTCAAACTGAAGCAGTCGGTTTGTCTGATGTGGCCAGTCACCTAACTTTTGACTTATACGTCCAGTCTACAAGACAGTGGAGAGACGTAAGATGTAACCTCATGGTAACCACTAACCATCAGCAGGTTTATACACGGTTTTTACACTGAGGATTCTTCTAAAGTCTATGCGTAGCAGTGTTTTGGAATTGAGCTTTATCATTTCCTCTAGGTGGTTCCCACGTTAGCACTAATTGTATTTAACCGTCGGATATTAGCTTTTCGTGAATTTCGTAAACAGCACTTGTGCCATGAGAATATAGTGAGCGAGGCGTCTGTGTCAGTGGCTATACACTTTAATACATGGTATAAATAATGAACTCAGTCGGTCAGTCAGTCATATGCAACGTAGAACTTCGTACGTAAGTACATCAGTTCATGTTTCAATGCCACAAAAGCAAACAGAGACACGATTTTCAATTCAAATCCCATAGTGGTAGAGATAGTAGAAGAATTACTGCTACCTTGACGTGGTGGTCGAGCTTGCCTATCGTCATGACCCAACCAAGCTATATTGTCTGAAACATATGTTCCTGAAGGTTCTATCATCCGAGACAGGTCGATTGGAGAATGATGAGACTAAAAGCAGCTACTCAAGGTCTGAGGACGAAGTTGTACTGCTGATTGAAGAGTAGTGTGATAGCAGTAAGGTGTTTCCATCGGATAACCAGCATCTGCAGCGATGCTGCTGCCTTCTCACAAGGAAGCAAGGGTTAAAAAAGGTCGCCTCTAAAATGTTACGCCTCACCCTACCTCACGGATTTCCGTCTCCGGTGGTAAGTTTGCCCACTGAGGGCTTTTAAGAGCGGAGCTAATCCTCAAAAAACCTTTCATAAAAAGGCTGTGCTTGACTGGCTTCAAGCAGTTGTCCCTTGGACTCTGCGGTCACGCAACCAGCTCTCTAAGACCAACACTAATCTATGTTCCTTTTCAGGTGCCTCAAGAAACACCCTTCCACGGTGTGGGCAGCCGGGAAGTGACAACTGCCCTCATACCCATAACAGCAAACGATATCTAATCGGTCACAATCAAATATTGAACTAGAAATAAATTTAACAGGAAATATGTATGTTTTTCAGTTTTATTCTATTACTTCACAAAGAATTCATAGAATCCTAGCCGGAAATCATGAATCTCTGTATTCCAACCTATTTGTCCAATCGCAAAATAATTTTACTGCATCTCAGGATCAATGTTTCGGATCACACTATCCACTAATTAAGTTTATTACAAATACGCATGTTGCGTGAAAAAAACTGACAGAACATACTCTACAATAATGTCAATGGGAAGACACAAACTAAAGAGAGTGGTTTCCGTTTCTAAATTGTTTAATCATTCCTCATTTGATATTATTCTATGACACTAATAGATTTAAACTAGCCTAGACAAATACTACTGTGAAAATCTCATGCTCAAAGCAAAAAACATTTGTAAAACATTCATGGAGTAATAAACTTTTTCATTCGCAACATAATTTCGTGATCGAGGCAACGAATCTCCACTTCATTTGTCTAGAAATTAATGTCAGTCAGTCATATGCAACGTAGAACTTCGTACGTAAGTACATCAGTTCATGTCGCTATACCACATCAGCACAGAGATGTAATTGTTAATTCAAATCCCATAGTAGAAGAGGTAGAAAAGGTATTAGAAGTTATCAGAGAGGTTAGGATTAGAAGATATTATTCAAAAAGTATGATTCAGTGAGACCAGTTTAGAGAGACTAAAGTAGAGGTGTTGAAGAATCCAGAAGATTAGGATTTGAAAGAGAACACAAAGAATAAATGCACCTGCGCCATTGCAAACAGTTTTGAGCCATGTTATTCAGGGTCTCTAACCATCGGTTATTATCATCTCGCGGACCTCAATCAAGTAGTCGACAACTACCGACATGACTCAATCCACTTGTCAATGACTTCATGGATTTCTGTCATGTTTTGTTTTGGCCGCCCCTAACTTTCTTCCAACCTACTCCTACATTACAAAACAAAGCTCGTCGAGGCAGTCGGTGGTTAGGCATATGCAGCACATGTCCCAACCACCTCAACTGATGAAGTTTCATTACTTCATCTATTGATCTGCCATTCTTACCTAGTACCAGTTTCCTAATAACAGCGTTGCTCACTCGGGTGTCCCAGGATATACAAGCAATGCTTCGAAGACACCTATGATCGAAAACCAGCATAACCGACGAATATCTTCTACTCTCATTGGCCATGTTTCATAGCCATAGAGTAAGACGGAGCGAACCACTGCACAGTACACTCGTCGTTTAGTCAGCAAACGGATATCTCGCCTACGCCATAAGTGACTCAAGTTGGCAAAAGCCAATCGAGCCTTCTGTATCCGAGCTGAGATTTCGTCAGTCACCAGGCCATCGGAACTGATGAGACTTC